GCTGTGGCTGCAACCACAATTGTGTATTTCATAGCACCAGCTTATGTAAGAATTTTGACTAAGTTAGCAACAGTTGATCTCTTTTAACCAATAGCAACGTAAATGCAATATAATTATTTATTCTTGTCACCAGAATCAAAATTTGGTTTTTAATTGATGATTGTATCAATAGCAATAGCAGTCTTTCCTGTTTATCTATCACCAATAATCAATTCTCTTTATCCTCTTCCAATTGGAACCAAACAATCAACAGCCTTTAATCCTGTTTACATTGGTTCATGGACACTCTTTCTTGGAATAATTCCTGGTGCTTTTAATTCAACTCTTCTTCTTGCATTTGTTTTAACTGGACCATGTCCATCAATTGGATTACCAAGAGCATCAAATACTCTACCCAACATTTCCATACCAATTGGGACATCGACAATAGCTCCTGTTCTTTTGACAATATCTCCTTCTTAGATATCTCTAGAATAAATGTATTTATATTGAATACCTGTCATTACCCAACACGACAATACCAACATTATCAGTTTCCAAATTCAATGCCATACCTCTGACTCCTGAACTGAATTCAACCATTTCTCCTGCTTATACTTATGTCAAACCAAAAACTCTGGCAATACCATCACCAATAGAGATGACTGTACCATATTCTTTAATATCATTCTAGATTATCACTATATTTCTTTACCAATTGGGAAATATTTTTAATTTTGTCTTCTAATACACTTGAGGCTTCTCCTATACCCAATTTCTTTGAGAATCCCATTGATGGTAAGTACCAAAGTGATTTTCTCAATACGGATGTGTACCCTCGTATCATAATTAATTTATTTAAATTAAATCTTTAAATCAAGAGCATATATATAGTTAATATATCAATCCTACTTCCCTTCTTTCTAATCATAATGCATTAATATTTTTATTTTTGGAACCTAAAAGTTCAGATACGCTTAACTTTTCTCTTCTAGACTCATTTAATCTTCATTCATATTCATTGATTATTATCTCCATCTTGTATATTATTTAGTCAATTCAGAAAACTCATTTAAAGCTACTTTTAAATATTTATATTTGTTATCTGATATGATGATAGTTCTCTTTTTGGTTGGATTTCTATATTCATTCCTTCTCTCAAAAACTATCTATTTTTCAGATGGAATTTCTTCCTTATCATCCTATCTCTATTCTTATATAATTATATTCTAGTTTTCTTAATGTAATTGATTTTTCTAAGCTAATTTCTCCTTGAGATTTTATAATACACTTTAATCTTTATGGATTGGAAACTATTTCAATTGAATTTTGACTTATTCAATGTTCATCATAAATCTTGTATATTTTAAATATATATAATCTGCCTAGTAATCATATGAAAATATATACAATTAATTATTTCTCCTCCTTTCTATTCTCATAAAAACTAAAATTCTTTCTTGGTTTAGATGCTATCAAATACTATTATTCATATAATTCTTCATCCATAACTGAAATCTTATTATTTCTATATTGATGACATATTCGATAAAGTAGGAAACTCATAAATACTGTTCTCACAGTTTATGACCAATGTAGAAATAATTCATAACATAGTGGTTCAAATAATAAATCGATTATTGCTTTTCTGAACTCTATTGGAAATTTTAAAAAATTTGTGTAAATTAAATCCAAAACTGTAGCAATTGCTATTGCATGCTCTGATTATGTTAATACAATTCTTATTCCATTTAAAAAAAATGGGTAATCAAAAACTGTTAATGTTTCAGGACATTAATTTATTATTAAACTTAATAAATCAAATATTTATATAACTTAATCAGGTTAATACAAACTAAAAATAATTATGGATCTTACTTGGTTTTATTGAATAATATCATTACAATAATGTTAATTATACTGTTATTTTTAGAAATTGCCATCACACAATCAAAAAATGATACAGTGTATTATTCCTTTAATTTTAATTCACAAAGAAAAGATTTCAATAATTATTTATATCCTGGTACATGTTACCATTATATATTATTCTTTTCCAATATAAATTATATGTAACTACAGAATTCCATTATAAAATATTGATAAATTAAACTTCTTTTACTTAAAGTTAACATCCATTAATCATCACATATGCTTTAGCTTAATTAATATTATTGATTTTAAGAGAGATAATTGTAAAAGTATGTCTACCAATCAAATACCATAGCTACTTATTCATTTATAAACACATCTTATTCTTCTAATTAAAATTCATTTCCTCTCCATTCTACTAATTAAGGATCATTAGCCTTATTAATACATTTAAGCAATTAATCTTTAAAATGAGGGACTCTTATAAATGCTAAAACAAGAAATCTCATTGTGAATTTTCTCTCATTTTATTATTAAGTCCTTAATGGGACCTTAAATAGTACCCAATTTAAAGTTTAAAGCATAAATTCTGAATAATGAAGATTTACTGAATTTTTAAGTTCCAATTGTTTTTTTGATAATTACTTACATTCTTCAAAATATCCTAAAGAATGCAATCGAAATTCTCCTCTAGAAATAATTACTAATAAAATTTCATAACAAACTTCTCTTAAATTGTCATCTAATTTATCAATATATCTAGTTATTTATTCTGCTATCTTGATAAAATATTCCTAGGCTTTAAATAAATCTTCTTAGTTTTTATAGTAGAATAGTTTGGAATTGGTATCTTTATCAGCTTTTTAAACTTCCACTAATAATTGCTAACTCAAATTCAAGGCTTAATGTTAAAGTATTGCTCTATTTGGATCATTATGACTTAATGATTACATCTTAAACATAGATTCATATAACTTTTAAAAGATATTAGTTATTTCTGCTATTTAGGTAACTGATTTTGAACTACAAATATTGACACCTAATGTGCATCCATTCTCAGTTCTAATACCTACTAATTTCTATTTAAGAAACCTGGGTAATTTTACATTTAATTTACATTTTATTGTACCTACTTTATTACCCTTACACCATAAGCTTTTAGTTATAGTAGTTTTGAATTGTTAATGCATTTTGAAATCTTCTTGATCATTCTCTTATATTAATTTGTGTAATGCAATAAAGGTTTCAGCAAAAAGGTTTTAATCTATAAATACTTCTTTTTCTTATATTTCATTAAGTGATTTTATTGAACAAATTCCAGGTGATTGAAATTCATTTTCTTTATTTATACTCCAAATGCATACTTATAATGAACTATTATATAATTCATTTGATGGTAATTCTATACTTAGAATTGGTAATTCAGAGGAATTATTCCATGTAGTTCTAAACATCATTTCTTATAAGAAATTGTTAAGAGATGAATTAAATCCTTTTAAATATGCAGGATTATAAAAAATATCAGAATTTGGAGATGTAAAGTACATTTTAGTAGTTACTAATCTCAAATTAAATACATAAGCTTTGTCTTTTATACTTTCAACATAACTACAATCAATTTCAATAGGATTAATATCAATCTATAAAATCTAAGCCATTTGCATATCAAAAGATAGCCTACCTTTTCCAATAGAATAATCAAAATGTATAGGGCCACTTATAATATCAAAAATAGGAATCTCCAAAGTTGCAATGACAATCTTTTCTTCAAATAAATAAAATTCCAGTTTTTTCTCATGTAGCTCAATTATGTTAGCTTAAATTTATGTTTCCACAATTTTCTTCCACTAAAGTTAGTTAATTATTTACAGTGTGTTTACCGTCTAAATCTATATGGTTTGGTGTTTCAATTAAAATATCTCCAGCTAATTTAATACTCAAATGACAAGACTTAGTAGGATATTGGAGACGAAGATTTTCGAATAATATATTAAACTTCATTGGCTCAGGATTCATGAATGAACATCCATACCTTTATGGTCCTCCAGGTGATTTAGCAAATTGATGATGTTAATGATGATGTCCACATACACCTCCCATTATTATTTTTATTATAATAAAAATGTCTTGGTACAAATAATTAGGAAACTCAGTAAAGGAATTGAGATTCGTTTTTTGTTAAACATGTGGAAGATCAGAAGGCATAAGGTATTCATATATGATCAAAATGTAGAAATCTTGTATCCAAAAACTATTGGTAATGGAAGGATGCAAATCCTTATTTCCCATTTGTTGTTAGAGAGTGTGAATCTATTGACCCATATATCCTCATTAGATACAGTACAATTATAAACAATATATAGAGTATGGTGTTGAAAAGAAGGCTTTGATAGGAAATCTAAATGAATCCGAATTAGAATAAGTGATTGGACAATTAGTTGCTTAATCCAATAAAGTGAATTCAACTATATGATTAGCAATGTCATAATCAATATAATAAAAAAATACAAAATTAAATTAAGTATTACTCTCTATTTGCATTAATATTACCTATTTATTTACAGATATCTTCATTCCTTTTTGTTTTTCTATCTATTTTTATTATAGTGATAATTAATAAATACTAAATTAATTAAATAGATAATCTCATATTTTTGATTAAGTTCAAGTATTTTCAAAATAGTTATAGTTCTTGACAATCTCAGCATTGATATAATAAGAAATAACATTAATAGTATGTATAAAACCAAAATAAAATCATGTATAAATAAACATAGTTTCATCCACACATTTTATATTTCTTTTTTCCTACTTTTTTTCCACAATTTGGACAGAGATGGATTTTATCTAAACATTCTTCAAAACAAAATGGCAAAAAGAATAAAGGTAAAAAAAATAGAAACAGTAACCAACAAGCGAGCCAAGTATGACAACCGCTTTTATGTTTAATATATGTCTGAACTGCTTTTTGACAATAAGGACAAATTATATCAGCAGGATATGAACACCCATCTGCATTTGCTCTTCTTATTTATTATACAACAATTGGTTATATAATAACAGGTCCATCTAACATTAACTAATCTAATACTGATAAATGGTTATTGCTATTGAACTGGAATGTATTATGGATTTACAGGATGTCCAAGTGGAACTCCTTAACCCTAATTTATTGGTTACTATTGCTGATAAAATTATTAATCCATAGGCTAATTCATGCCATCCTTTTAAACAGGGTAATTATATGCTTATACATTAGGCTGCATTATTTTTAAAGTTAATAATTATCAAACTTTATTTTATTTTAATTATAAAGACTGAATTCTATATAATTTTATAGAATCCTTTTGAAAAATATACCCAAATAGAAGAGAATATTATATTATTATTAAATAAATTTTACATTTTTATTCGATATTTATGATGAAATATGAATAATATTTTCTTCCAAACTATTGTTAATTATATTAAAATTTCTATTTATTATATGAAAGTCTAGCACCATTATAATTCTTTATTTATGTAATATCAAACAAAAATAGATAAGTCAACATAATTTATAAAATTTAGCTCCAACAATAATCCCGCAACTTTAACAAAAGTGCACTTTATCATTACACGATTCTAAGCAACATGGTAACCAAAATAATGGGCAGAATAAAACTAAAAGTAAAAGAGATGCACATAATGTTCCTTTTCCTATTTTATTTTTAACTTTTGTGACTCCAAGCCATCCACATTTAAAGCATTTAATAATAGTAGGTTTGCTCTAACCTTCTGCAGAAACTTAATTTTAATCAAGTACTTGAGGGTCCATAGCCCTATAAGGCCTTAAGCTCAATTATTATAAAAATATACTTATTTGTTATTGCCTGATCCATAGAGGGAGATAATAATTAAGTTTGATTATTATTATTATTATTATTTTATTATAATTATTATTTTAGTATTATGGAGTTATTTAGTAAACCGAATTAGAAGGATTTCTAGGATTTCTTAACTTGATTAATGTAATCTAATTGTAAATTATATAATAGAATATTATTTATGTATTTTATCATTTTAAGATTTTATACTATTTATTTTAGGAAGTATAAAAATGTATAACCTTAAGAATAGAGAGTTTTTAAATCTCTAAACATTGTTGATTATTTATGAGTAATTAGAAAAAAGAAATTATGACAATTATTTTATATCATATATTATTTATCATTTTTTAGTGCTATTTTGAAGTAACATTTCAAGATTGTCATTTTGTTCAACTAAATTTTGCATTCTAAAAATTTTAATAATATATTTACTCTTCTTCTAATAATGCTATTTGATTCTCTCTTTCAATTTATTATTAAACTACTGTATTTAAGTAATCATTTTCTTCTATTAATGATTTAATTTTTTCTTCAAGTGCTTCAACTTATTCTCCTTATGGTTCTAAGAATTTGTCTGCCGACTGAAGTTTTGATTGTAACTATTCATATTTAATTTTCCAATTTTATACTTCCTTTTAACTTTATTGAGTCTATTTTAATTATTTAAATGATACCATTTAAATAAGTTTATTCTTTTCATTTGTTAATTGCTATAATTATTCCTTTTTTGGATTACTATCTTATTATGCTATTAAATTATTTAATCTTTCATTTTCAGAAATTAAACCATGAACTTTCTCTTCTAAATCAGTAACTAAAAATTAAATTTATTATTCTTCAGCTTAATTCTTTTCCTAATATTATTATTCTAAATCCTTGTATTTTTTCATTTGTTCAGACAATTGCTTTTGAGCCTCATTAATTTATTTTTACAAGAAATCTAATTGTTAACTATTATATGAAATCTATTTATTAAGTTCTTATATTTCTCCTTAAGGTTAATCCTAAGCCTTCTATAATAATCTAAAAACATCAAATAAAATAAATACTCCATATTCAAATTTTATAATTAATCATTTTGTTAGATAAGAGTTTTAATTTTGCTCTCCATTTCATTCAAAAATTATGTATTATAAGTTTTTTTTTCTTATTCTAATTTTTTTAATTTGACAGTTAATAATTAATGTCTTTCTTTTTCTTTTGCTAATTCTTCAACTATTTATTATGCATTTGTAGGTTAAGAAATAGCTGGACCCATTCCAGAACCACCAACTTTCTATATTTAAGGAGACTTATTTTATTGTAATTATTGTTGTTATAATTTTGCTAAATTTGTTGTTTCATTTAGTAATTGGCTCTTTGGCATAGGAGAATACATTAATTATTGATTAATTTGTTCTGGAACTTGCTTTTAATCTAAACTTTAAATAATATTAATACTCATGAATTTCATTTAATCCTTCATTGGAGTAGCTTATCTTTAAGAGTAATCATTTTAAGTTTTATTAATTCCACCACCATTACTTATATATTAACTAGTTTTTGTTGCTTACTAATTTCTAAGATATTAATTGTATTAATTACTGAATGTTAGTTAATGGAGCAGCATTTCTGTTTTAAGCTTAGACAGGATCAGCAGATTGCATTCTTCCAGGTGCCCCAAATTATTTTTATTAAAGTAGCTATTATTGATTTTATGAGTAAGTAGATATCTATCTTTCATTACCAGTAGCTTTTTAAGGTTAAGTATACTTGGTATCTTCTTGATTTTCATTTACTTTGTTTTAATTTGTTTATTGTTATTATTATTATTATTATTGTTATTATTATTATTATTATTATTTGTAGAATAATTGATTAAAATCTTTGGCTGTGAATTAAACATTCTAGTATCTTGGATCTCCCTTTTATTGAGGCTATTACTATTATTATTATTATTATTATTATTATGACTGTTAATATTATTATTATTATTATTATTGCATATTTGGATATTATTATTTTTAAGGATAGTTCTAGTAATTTTGTGTTTATTATTATTGGTGTTACTAAGGTTATTGATGATTTTTGGAGTCCTATGATTGTGGAATCATTTATCTACCATAATATTATTGTTATCCAAAGGTTTCTTGGAAGCAACCTTAATTAGACATTTATTTTTGTTATTTTGGAGGCATCTATTGATATTTAGGCTATGAATATCCATTAACATCATAGTTGATTGGTTGATTTTGAAATTTAATCATTAACGATATTTATTTATTATTAATTATTTTATACTATCACATAAGATAATAATGTATATTAAAGTAATACAACTATAAGATTTTATGAATGAAAATTAAATAAGTAATTGAATAATTAAAAAATAGAAAAGACTAGAATAAAATTAGAGTATAATAAATGACTTTAAATAATGTATTATTTGATATATAATAATCAATAAACCATAGGTAAATATTTGTAAACTCTTTCAATAATGGCTGGAATATCTGCTCCTTACACTTCATCAACCAATCTGCCTTCTTAATAAAAGACAAATCTAGGTTTACTAGTTGGCTCTCTGTCTAAATAAAAGATTAGAGTTATTTTTTACTAAATTTATCATGTTTGTATGTGACTATTTTACTATAACCTAGAGTGTAGATGTCTACTCTTTTTTCAAAGTCATCGATACTTGTTTATAAGGTTTTATAAGTTGGATTCATCATTTCACATGGACCACACCAATCAGGATGAACATCAAGCAAGACCAACTTTTTATTTTCAGAACTTATTAGATTAAGAAACTATTCTTCATCTTTAATGACCATCACAACTTATTATTATTTGGGAGGCATATAATAATAAATATATTATTTTTAATATTAATTTAAGTTACATTAATGTATTTTTATTAATCTTTTGTAAGTCACACTTTTTCACAAACAATAATAAACTTTGATCCTTTATTTCTTTCTACTTTTTTTCCCTCTTCAGTAGAATTCCAAATGAGTTTTGCAGCAGAATCTTCTTCAACATCTTAAACTCGTTTAAACTTTATATAATTCTTTCATAAATACCATCTTATGTTTTTCAAGATGTTAAACATGCCAATTATGTAATTCTTCTACATCAGTTATACAATAGATTCTTCCATTAGATTTCAATAGATAAGCATATTCAGAAAGCAGTCCTGAGTTAACAATTCTTCTCCTGTAATTTTTCTTTTTGAAATGTGGATCAGGGAAACAAATAAAGATTTTTTCTAAACTATTTTTTCTAAAATATTGTGGTAGATGTCTCATTGTATTTGTACGAATCACTGATACATTGTGAGCTTCGCCTTCATTTCTTAAGGCTCTAATTTTTTCTCCTACATAGTTTACTACTTTGCCTCTGATTTCCATTCCAAAAGTATACTTATCTGGGTAATTTTAACTTAAGGCAAAGCATAGTCCTCCAAATCCACAACCACTTAGGTATTATTAATTAAATTTACATATCAAGAAAATCCACAATAGATTATGAACCTTCAGGATTCACTTAGTCATCATAAGAAATTGGATATTCTAAGGTATTTAGATATAACTTTAATGGATCTTTTCCAAACTTTTTAGGATAATGTAATGACCAATCAACTTAATTGTAATTAAGTGGATAGGGAAACAAGGTTTCATTTAATGGATTTACATGAGCATGCATTCTAAAATCTGCTTTCTTTGGCTTTTAAATCTTCACTTTCTTTTCAATTTGTTCAATCTAATTATCTTTATTGTTTTCTTATGTTGTGTTCATAATTATTTATTTAATATGAATTTATGAAAATGTCTTATAAATAATAATTTTTTTGTTTGTTAATGAATAGTTTAGATCAATCACTACAATCAGAATTTTAAGAATTTAGATCCTAATTTTAGCAGTAAGAGAAGGTTATCAACAACCCTGAATCTTTATCGTTTTAATATAAGGTTTAGGGCCAATCACACCATTCTTCCATTTAGTTATAGTCGGCAGAATAATAATCCCTTTAGCAATTGAGTTTAGTTCATGTTTAAGAATAATAACCTGCTGAAATATTAGACACATCACAATTCGAAACTGAACAGTATTTGAATATAAGTTTTCAAGATATTATTTAGTTGATTTTTAATAACCAATGTCCACAACTAAACAACGCCCTTAAAATTATAGTTTTTAGAAGCTACATACTAGTCAATCTATTCACAATTCTCAATATCATTTTTATTTTAAATGAAGTAATAGCTCTATATTTTTCACTAATTACAAAAGATCAAATAAAAGAATTATTTAGTGTATACTTTGGTTTTAACCTAATCTCTGATTGTTTAATAACATATATCAACTTTTAATTAAGGTACATAATAAATGAAGCTGAATAAATTAATTAAGGTGATGCTAGTACTTAGATTATCGAATATTTAAAATATACTATAAAAATAAATAGTCCTTTCGAAGATATAGTAGAAGATGAAGAACAGTTAACTTAAGCATAATAAGTTGCTATAAGTATTTCTGAAAAAATTACAACTATGAAATGGCTAACTTATTTATTAGAGAATTAGAATTCTTAAATGTTTGCCTTAAATAGAGTTTGTTTGCTGACTAAAATAATATTATTTGCTTGGGGAAATATCACAATAGTTTAATGGATATTTTTAAATTGGGAAAACAACAATATCAATATGAATTAATTAGAATCAATTTTGATTGTTTTGACAGTATTTTCAATGTTAATTGGTTATATCATCATAATTTTTCTGGTAAGTTTAATCCTAGTTGTTTGTGCTATAATCCCAATAATAATTGGAATGGCAATTTGGTAATCATGTAATTGGTGTACATACCTATATATTGAATATAAGCTTCATAGGATAGCTTAACAAAGACAAAGGTTTTTAAATAATTTAAACCCATAAAAATTCTAACAACTAAAAGAATAAGATGAAAGTATTCATGAAGAATGTTCAATATGTTTATCTACATATTAAATGGATGATAATTGTGTAAAATTGCCATGCAATGTAGATAGTGGTAATAGGAAAATTAATCATGTTTTCCATGATACTTGCATTTTAGTATGGATTTAAACTTGTGGATCTTGTCCTATCTGTAGAACTGTTTTCATTGAGAGATATGAATAATGATAATTTTATATTATTATTTTGCTTGACTCTCTTTTATTAATTAATATTTTTATATAGCAGTTAAAGCTTTATGTCTTTAAATACTTCTATGCCCTATTATCGTAATTCTTCAAGAGAAGTAAAAACAATTAAAGAAATTGTATAAGCTGAGGTAATCAAAAGTGCAAGATTATTAAGCAGAGACAAAGTCAAAGTTAAACAAAATACATCTATTGGTGATTGTAATTATTTTTCTATAATAAGTGAATAGAAGTAAAAGAAAAGTTAATAATTCATTTTATGACAACAGAAATAATTCTTAGATTGAAAATTCAAACATTCTATCTGGTTATTTAGCTAATGCATTTCAGGAAAGAAAGGAAAATATACAAAAGATTTAGATGTAGGAAAATACAAATAAGAATAAATTCGATGAAAACAAATAAAGAGAAATCAAATATCTTATGAGGATTGCAGCTTTAGAGAAAGAATCATCAAAATTAACTGAATTAGTCACTAAATTGAAGAAAGAGAATTAATTATTGAAATAATAAAATAATCAAGACTTAATCATATATCAATTATAAGAAGCTCTTAATATATCTAAAAATGAGAATTAAAATCTTATAAAATAAATTACTCAACTTTAGAATTCTAATACTAATTACTTTAACAATAGTATATATCGAATTTAAAAGCACTAAAATCAAAATACAAATTAGACAGTCAATAATATAAATAATATAAGTCAAGATAATCTTAAATTAAAAGAGTACATTCCTAGTTATTTAGTTGCTCTAAGTTTAGCAGAATGAATGTGTATTATTAAATACAAATTTTGTGAATATATGAATATATAATTTATTATTCTTAATGATATAATTATTTATCATCATAGCACTTGCTTTTTCTAAGCCACTCAATCCTAAGAAAGTCTTGTATGCTATAAATTGTGGTGCACCTTCAAATTATAAAAGTCCTTCAGGAATTCAATATGATAAGGTATTGTTACTTTATATATTATTTCTAAGGATATATAAACAGATCCTGAAACAGTAGTAGCAGATTACAGTTTGAATTCTGAAGTGTCTAGTCAACAAATCAAATATACAAGAGAGCCAGAAATATATTTAACAGAAAGACATGCATATAAAACATTCTCATATCAAATTCCATTGTAAAAAGAAGGCACTTATACTTTAATTCTTAAATTTGCAGAAGTATTTAATAATATAAATGAAAGATGTACTTTGATACAAAAGGAAAAAGAGTTTTCCATGTTAAATTTGGACAATAAAGAGTCATAGAAAAACTTGATGTTGTAGCTAAGGTTGGAAAATTTGCTTCAAATGATGAATATATAGAATTTGAATATATAGCTGGTCAAGTATTCCATAATGTAAATTTACATTTATATATAAAAATAGAATGTTTTATGTGTAGATGCAGTTTAAGATGGTAAATTATAAATGAATCTTGAAAAAACAAAATTTGATAATCCATATATTCATGGAATAGTTTTGTATGCAGGTGGAATCAATGAAACAGATTATGAAGAATATTAATATATGAAAGAAAATTGGGAGAAAGTAATAAATGAAGAAAAGATTAAAGAAGAAGTTGAGAGATAAAAAAAATCTGAAGCTAAAGTCAAAAGAAAAGAGAGAGTAAAAATTAGAAATGATCACTTAAATGAAGTAGAAAATGAATTCGAAGTTGATGATTAATAATAAAATACTTCTATTCCAGTAGCTAAAAAAGGTGGTTTAAGAAGCTTAATTACTAGTCCTATTGGAACTGCAGGTTTATTCATTTCATTATTTGTTGGAATGTCTATTCTTAATAAGATAATGTCTGCTATTTCGAATGTAATTTTATACATTATATAAATTTAGGCTAAAATAAAAGGAATTGAAAAGGATATTATTACTGAATCTAAACCTAAGTAAGAGAAATAACCAAAAGAAAAGAGTGATGAAAAAAAGAATAAACCAAAGGATACAAAAGAGAAATCTAAAGCAAAATAATAATGATGAGTTATATTTGTTCAAATATTATGTTATTGAAGACATTATATTAATACGCATTTTTAAAATTTGATTATAAATTTAAAGTACATATTTCATTCATTAATTTTCTTATAAATACCTAATTTAAAAACATATGAATATGATCTAACTGTTATTCACTAAATTTGCTGATATTTTATTAACATCAAGAGCATACCCCTTCCTTTAATACTAATCCCAAATCTAAAATTAAACAAAAGAAATTGGAATTATTTGGAATAAAGAAATAAACATTAATGTATAACAATTACTTAAAAATAATTGGAGAAGTTCTTAAACTAATGAAATGATTGTTTAATTTTTTCTAGAAAAAGATGGAAATTCTTTTTTAGTTGAAGAATGGAGTCTTATATAATCATAAAGTATCATACTTAATATGCTTACTACCAAAAAGAACAATTCCTTAATCAAATAAATAACTATTTGGTTACGATCAGCTATTGCTATGATGACTATGACTACAATATTTTAAGAAGAATTAATTACAAAATAATATAAAGTGACACATAGTTTATTATTTTATAATAGAAATACTAAAAAAAGAAGTGATTGGATAGATGATTCTAAATTATAAGTTAAAAAGATTTCAACTAAATTTCTAAGTCAACTCAACTTTTAATTAACTATAGCTTAATAAGGATAATTATAGAATGTCTTATAAATTTAGAAATAAAAAATAAATGAGTCTCCTTTATTTAAAAGATGTCGTTATTTATCAGAATAAATTGATATTAAAGATCCACAATTAATTGAAAGAAAAATGACAATGGATACTGAATATTAAGTTTAATAAAGACAAGAAAATCCTCCTAGGATGTCACTTAATAATCTTTCTTTTGTTTCAATATATTCAAAAAAAGAAGAAGTAGAACTATTATTTACACCTGAAGAAGCAGCATAAAAATTAAAAGATAAGGCATTTTTAGAAGAAGATTATGAAATTAATCTCATGACTGGTGATCCTATGAATAATAAATTAAATTTATCAAATCATGGATAATAATTAGAAAATAAATCATCAATTTTAAACTTTCCTGTTTGTATCTAAAATGAATTACTTATTTCATAGATTATGTTATCTTAAAAACTTTCAAATGAAGAAAAAATTAATTAATCAATTTTATTAGATACTTTAAAGAATATTCAGTAAGAATCAAAAAATAAAAGAATTAGATCAATTTAAATAAACAGATTATTAAGTTTTTATAGATAAATTTGTTGATATAGAAAGTGAATTACTAATAGTGATTAATTTATATCTATGTTTAAGAGTGTTTGATTAATTATATCAACTATCAGGCTATGGGATTTGCTTAATCTTGATCACAAAAGAAATCTTCTTCACCATTGAATTAGTAATATTCTTAACAATAATTTTCGTCTTCTTCAAATTAAAGATATTTTACATAATCTTCTTCATTTTCAAAAATTTGTTATTATTAAACTATCTGATTCATTTCCAAGTATTCATCAGTATCCCTTTATACTGCTAATTAATCATCTGCTTCAATAATCATATTATCCCAAGAACTCTATTCTTACTAAATATCCTCTTATTATTCCTAAGTTGTTGCTGGTTCATTTTTTTATTGCTTAATGAGCTAATTTAGATATCCCATTTTTTTGTCTAGAATTCTCATAATATCTATAAATTATGGTAATTTTCTTATCATAAATACAAAAATTTACTTAAATACACTATGATATTATTCAAGAGTTCTTTTTGGAAGTCCAACTAAATTAGCTGCCTCCTTTAAAGAAGGTTTTATCTAATTACCTACTTCATTAAAATAACCATTTTCAAATAAGTCTCTCCACTTTTGAACTGCATTCAAAGCCTCCCAAACATACCTTTCTCGCTTAGAACTTTTAATTTCTGATTTTTCAGATTGTGTTTCAATATTCATTCTAATAAATATATTATTATTTTTAGAAATTATTCATTTACTTATTTAAGTTAAAATACTCACAAAAATTATAAGAAAATAAATAGGATCATTTATATATATATGAATTTTTGAAACATATTTTAATTATTAGATATATAATAAAAAGTTCTAGTCTCTTGATCATTTTTTAGTTAGAAAAGATTAATAATACCAAATTTAAAGTGAGAAGAAGCCTTTTAATCTAAATAAAAAGGATAAGAAGTAAGATGAAGAAATTTAAAATTTTAACTTTTGAAGTTGTGTTTAGGCACTTTTGAAATAAAGTTTGAATCATTTATGACTTCAACATTATAATAAACATAATTAAGATGAGTGATGTTGACTTTTTAGCATATATAGTTTGAATTATGTGTATGGGATTGTTATCTGAAGGGGGAAAGAGTTAATTTACAAATCTTTTTTATTTATTTTAATTTGATGTAATTTGCTTGGACTGATGCTGAAGTAGAAAACAACAATAAATGGAATTATGATGATGATAGACGATTAGAAGAAGCTTTTAAGTTATATGGACCATAATGGAAGAAGATTTCAGAATATTTATCAGGAAAAACAGATTAAGAATGTGTTCAAAGATGGACTTAATTAAAGGTAAAATATAAATATATTATATAAGAGTGGAAAGAAGACACCATGGACTAAAGAAGAAGATGATATGTTGAAAGAGTTAGTGTAAAAATATGGAGAAAATTGGAATGAAATTGCTTAAATTATGAAAAACAGAACTGGAAACTAAATTCGAAATAGATATATCAATCAAATAATAGCACCACCTGCAAGATCATGGACTCAAGAGGAAGACGATTAATTAATCAAATTATATAAACAGTATGGGTCGAAGTGGACTTAGATTGCCAAATTGATGAAAGATAGATCTGTAATTATAAAAATTAAATTTAGGAAATAATGGTCAAGAATAGATTCTATACTAAACACAAAGATCAAAGTCACAAATTAGGCTTAGTAATATTTAATTTTATATATTAGAAACTTTAGGTCTTAGATTAGGAATTCGAAAAGTAAGAAGATTAGGAAATAAAGACTATCAAAACTGAATTATCTTGTAAATAAGAAATAGATAATTTGGAACCATAAATTAATAAAAAAATTGATACCAAATAGTCAGAATAACAAAAGGATTAAAATATTCGGTATTTATGCCCAAGAAACTTCTTATTTAAATTTGAACAAATGCTTGAATTAAATCCAGGAGAACCTAAAAAGATTATATGGATTCCTGTTCCAGTTATTAGATTGATTCCAAAAAATAATCCATCAGAAGTTTAAAACAAAAAATACCCAACAGAGAATTTAAAAGAAGAAGAATTATGATTAAATATATATATATTAGTTTCTTAATAAATACTAAATCTTAATTTTACTTCATGAAATATAGAAATATTATAATAAGTTAGTTAGAATTATAGAACATAAAAGAATAAAAACTTTAATATAATTAAGAATTAAAAAAAAATATAGAAACTCAACTTGATATTTCTAGAATTAGTTGATCAATTTGAATTTATATTGATATACAAAAGTTTTTAAATTAAAAATATTAAATATTCATTTCTTTTGTATTTATTATGAAAAATATATTGTCATGATATCTTAAAATATGATATTTTTTACACACACGTCTGTTATTTCATGATAAATATTGGCATTATAATGGTGATTTAAATCAAATGACGCATTAATAGAGAATATAAATTTACGTGTTTTGGTTATCAAAGTATAAATATCTTTTATCATTTATAAATGTCCGTCAACCTTGGTATTAATGGATTCGGAAGAATTGGTAGATTGGTCTTGAGAGCCGCTATTGAGAACAACAAACCAGTATACATTTTAAATATTCCAAGGTGACAGTCAAAGCTATCAATGACCCATTCATGGATCTAGATTACTTGGTCTATAATCTTAAATATGACTCTGCTCATTTGAAATCACCATTCACAGTCGAAAAATACGATTAAGGAATTGTTGTCAATGGATAAAAGATCAGAGTTTATGCTCAAAAAGATCCAAGCCAAATTCCTTGGGGAGATTCAGGAGTAATAGCATATTTTAATTTTTATTAGGTTAACACAGTTTGTGAATCAACAGGTGCATTTTTGACTGACGAAAAGGCTGGATTCCATTTGAAGGGAGGAGCCAAGAAAGTCATTATGTCTGCTCCATCAAAAGACAAGGGCACACCAACATATGTCTATGGAGTTAACCATGAAAACTATAAAGCTGATTAACACATTGTTTCAAATGCTTCATGCACAACCAACTGTTTAGCTCCATTAGCTAAAGTTGTCAATGATAATTTTGGAATTGTTGAAGGTAAAAATATCAGTAGATTTTTATAGGACTTATGACAACAGTTCATGCTTCCACAGCTACTTAATTGGTTGTTGATGGACCAGTTAAAGGTGGAAAAGATTGGAGAGCTGGAAGAGCTGCATCTACCAATATTATTCCATCAACTACAGGAGCTGCAAAGGCTGTAGGATTAGTCATTCCAGAAATCAAAGGAAAATTAACTGGTATGGCCTTCAGAGTTCCAACTATCAATGTTTCAGTTGTTGATTTGACAGTCAGAATTTAAAAGGAAGCATCTTATGATGAAATTATGGAAGCACTCTCAAAGGCTTCATAAGCAGGTCCATTAAAAGGAATTTTGGGATTCACAAGTGATTAAGTTGTTTCATAAGATTTCCTTCATGATGCAAGGTAAAAATTTTTATTAAAAATTTAGATCATCTATTGTTGATTCAAAAGCTGGTATTGGATTGACAAAGAACTTCCATAAATTAGTCTCATGGTATGATAATGAATGGGGATATTCCAATAGAGTTTTGGACTTAGCTGTTCATATGGCCAAAGTTAGCAAATTATGAAAAAATGAGTTAATCATAAATAACAGTATAAAATTATTTTGTTAAAAATTGTTTCTTTATTTCTAAATAAAATATCTATATATTTTATTTCAACTCAATCATCTTCATATTTATTCCCTTTATATACTTTTAGTTCATCTTCATCATCCTATAAATTAAAGGTTTAAGATTATTAAAACTGAATTTCAGTTTGTATCTTATTTTTTTAAGCTTCTTAGACTTTAATATCTCTTTGTCTCTTAATTTCAGTAAGCCATATTTCTATCTCCTTTTTTAGTTCTGGTTAAGGAATTAAATCTTTAGTATCTAATGGAGTAGCAGTGAATGGATCTTATTTTTTTTCTAATAATGCAGTGACAATAACTTTTCTATCCATTATTTCTTTAGATTATGGTAATAAAACAGGATCTCTCATTAACTAAATTAAAATATGAATTTATACTTCTCCATTTATAGGATCTTAAAATCTTTCTGGAATCTGTGTCTATTCTAAAATACTTTCCATAAATTTTTTTTTTTCTGATTTGAGTTACAAATTTTAAATAAATTTACTTAATCTTTCAACCTTCTCTTATTATCCAGCAATTTTCTATCTAAAAAAATATTCTAATTTTAAAAAATTTTCGATATGATAGGATCTATCATCTTTTACAAGGATACTCACTACTTTTTTTTCTTTATAAACATTTGCAAAAAATGTTCCTATTAGTGTTAGAAATGTTTCTAATTTAAATTCTTTTTCAGCAATTTTTTTTAAAGAATCTAATTTTTCTTTAAGTCTTTCATTTAATAAATTATCAAGATAATAATTAATCATTTTTAATATCATTTCTTAGAAAACTATTTATTTAATTAATAATATTACCTTCATTCATTAAAACTTTTGGAATATGGAAACTAAATTCAACTAATAACTTCAAATTAGATTTCATATTTTATAAATTTGATTTAATTTAACTTTTAATTAAATCTAGCTCTCGCTTTTTGTTGTATTTTTCTTATAAACTATTAGGAGCGTCTTTTAATTTTTTTTGATATGTTTCTAAATATGTAGTCCATATCTCTTCAAAACCATAATTCATATCACTTATCATATGTTTTATTAATCTTTGACCTAATTCACATTCTATATATTTTTATATTTAATTTTAATAAATATTTATCTACATTAATTAGAATAGAAGATCATTAATATATAATCTGTATTAAAATTTAGCATAAAATTGATTATTTGCTCCTGTTTCTGCAACTGCTGAATATTATTTTATTAGTCCTATAAGTAAATTGTCTTTTATTAAATTATTTGAAATAAATATTAAAGGTATGTTAGCTAAATTTTTAGTAACCTTAGTAAAAAAAAATATCATTTCAATGAATTTTCCAGCTAAATATTTATTTGTTGCAATTGGTAAATGAATAAAATACATTCCAAGTTCTGCAAAAAAGGTAAACTATTTCTAAAATAATACAATACTTTTTAAAAATCAAAAAAAATATCAGCAAACCCATCTAAATGTTACATATAAAAGTGAATATAATCTATTATAATATTAATTACAAATTCTGGAATATAATTTAAAATATCTGGTTTCTGCCATAATGTTTAACCATCAATCATATTATCAATATTAAGCCAATCTTTAAATAAATAGATAAATGTATCAAATAATTAAATTGTATCTTTAATTCTTCCACAGTTAAAAATTACTAATTCTAATTGATGAACTTCTTAATCCATTGCTTCTATATCTGCTTTAATTCTAAGTTCTTCAGGTTGACCAGCAAATAATTCCAAAAGTTCTTTATTGTCTTGCATTTCTTTAAGCATATCTTCCAATTTCTAAAGAATTGGTATTACTCCTATATGAACATATTTTAAAGTATAAAAAAATAAATAGCTTACATTACCAATTTATAAATTCTATTTACTTAATGGTATTTAAGAAACTAAAATATATAATAATCAAATACATAATAGCATTTGTTCATTCTCAAAAGGTATAGTATACCAAAATTGCTTATCTATTTTTGTATAAGTATCATCTGATCTACTTGATATTTTATTTGATAAATATAGTAAAGTATCATATATATTAAGTAGAAACCCATCAGATGAAACATTTTACTTTATTCTCATCTATCTATTATGTTAATATCCTTCTTTTGTTTTAAATTTATTGCATAAACATACATGATTTAAAAATTGTATAGTTTATTAAAATGTGTTCTTTGAAAGACATGTTTTTATCAGTGTTACTAAACTTTCAATATGATTGTGACCTACTTATTAATATTATTTAAGAAGAATTTCAAATTATCTTTTTGTCATTTTACCTGTTAAATTTTGATGAGCCCTCTATCTCACATATTGATTTTCTTATAATAATGATATTGTAAATATAGGACCTAAAAAATATTCTTTTTCTAATATATCTCCCTTATCTGTTTTTACATTCCTATTGTAAATTATAATTTTTTTACCATTTAGCAATTTTATCAGACATAATTAACTCTTTGGTTTTGGTATCCTTTAGATAATGTAAGAATACTGCAAAATAAAGATTCACTTGATCATTATAAATATGAAGCTAAAATTAATTCTTTTATTAAAACCTTAGAAATACAATTTCTAGAATATTAGATTATTTGTATGTGTAACATGTTTTCATCATAATTTTCTCCAATATTTTAAATAAATAAACTGTGTATATCTGAATCAAATCCTGTTGTATCAAAAATATCAAAAAGCCTTGCTATCAATTTTTAAAGCTCTTTCATATTTATAATGTATACCTTAATTTTACTCCTTCTCTCTGTCTGATATACATCTTTGAGGTGAAAATTAGTCAGGATATTATAGAATTGTCATCAAGTAATTTTAAACCATGATTCTAAATGACTCAATTAGATTTCCGATTTCTGGAGTATTATACCAAGGTCTTCCTTTTAAATACTCAATATTATATTTTGTTTACACAAGATTTACAAAAGGATTTGTTTAGCTACTTAAATATAAATATATACGGATATTTTAATCTCTCTAAAATGCATGCTTCCAAAATATCCTAATTTTATGAAATCAATATGTTGGTTCTTCCTTGAAAATATTATTTATAGGTATCAGCCAAAAATATCATTTTATCAGCTCTAAAATAATAATTGCATTAATTTACTTTGCTGGATCTACCGTAAACTTACAACATTCTTCCAAAAATAAAATTTCAGATGCGTCTGCGAACATAATAAATTATAAAAATTATTATTTATATTTTCTATTAACTTAATTACTAGTTAAATTTTATTTTATATCCCTTATTCATCAAATCTTATACTTAGCAGAACAATAGTCACATAGAAATTTAAATTATATGATATAAAAATTTTATTCATCTTTATAATTATTATTTATATTTTCAACATATATAACTTTTTACTTTTTGAACTTTAAATTTTATGAAAAATTAAAACAATCAAATAATATATGACTTGATTAATTATTTATTAAAAAGTTCATAGTATTTTATTCAAAAAAATGGGTAGTAATTGCTCGAATTGTTAAATCTGCTCAAAGAAGGATGAAATTTTAATTACTGAGTTTCATCAATAGACTATAAGTCGCTAATCTCATGATTAAGAAGATAACAATAAAGTAGAAAATCAAAAAGAGTATTATAAAGCCTAAAATAATGAATCCTTATCAGTAATTTTAGAAAACTTTAATCCTATTCAAGCTGTTCAAATACCAAATGATAAATAATCTGAAATCATCCTGACTTCATGTATATTATATAGTTTATAATTTGAAGAATCTAATAGTGATTTACAGAATCGAAAAAATGAGATGGTTTAAAGAAATTAAGAAGAAATGATGGAAACTTTTGGAAATAAATGTTTTACTTAAAGTAGAGAAAAAAGATTAAGGTATTATTTCAAAAGTGGTGCTTACTATGAGGGAGAATGGGTTGGATAATACCGAGATGGATTTGGTATTTAAATTTGGGCAGATGGAGCTAAATATGAAGGAGATTGGAAAAAAAATAGGGCACATGGAAAAGGTAAGTTTTGGCATGTCAGCGGAGACCTTTATGATGGAGATTGGAAAGAAGATAGAGTTTGTGGTTAAGGAAAATATATTCATGCTTAAGGAGCTAAATTTGAGGGATATTGGAATGATGATTAACCACATGGATATGGAATTGAGATATGGATAGATCATTCTAGATATGAGGGAAATTATTAATGTGGTAAAAAGGATGGTTTTGGTAAATATTATTGGAGTGATGGATCTTATTATTTGGGTTATTGGGAGAAAAATTAATTAGAAGGATATGGAATTTATACTTGGTCGGATGGTAGAGTAAATAATAAGTTCAATTTAGAAATATTCGGGAATGTGGAGTAAAAATTAAATGAATGGTAGAGGAATATACACATGGCCAGATGGACGTTAATATGAAGGAGAATATATTAAAGATAAAAAATAAGGATATGGTATTTATTAGTGGCCTGATGGAAGAAGTATATATTATGATAATATATTAGAATATGAAGGTTACTGGTAAAATGGAAAATAATCTGGAAAAGGCAGATATATATTGCCTACTGGTAAAAAGTAATTAGGGTTATGGGAAGTTGGTTGTAGAATTTAATGGATAGATGATGAAGAGGATATTAAACCAATAGATTGGGATGATTACATACAACCTACATTATAATAAGATAACATTAAAAATAAATGAAATTAGGAATTAATTTCTAAATGCTTAAATTTAGAAATTTTCTATTTTATAAAATTTATTTTATTTTTTATAGTAATTTACATAACCCATTTTAAATTATTATTTCAAAAATTTCTCATTCATCCTTGTAGATAACTTTGTAATATTTTCAATAATAATTAATTACAATTGTTTCACTTTCTTTAACAATTAAAAAATAAAAAGATCTAATTTGATTCATGAATAAAATTGATCTAGATAACATTCATATTTCTGATGAAGAAATATTAATAAGTTATCAATTTAAGAAATACTTTGCTATTTTATTTTCTAAATTTTTTTATAAATTTGTATTAGTTCTTTTATCATATTTATTTATATTTATTATTTTTTTAGATAACATTCTAAGACTTTTTAAGATAGTAGATTTAATTTTTAATTTACAATTCAGTAAATCAATATAAAGTTTAAAGAATTTTACAATAAAATAAAAACTAATGATAAACCATATATGTTTAATTTAAAAAATTAAAATTTATAAAGAATATTAGTATCTAAGGTTTATTTAAGCCTTATTAGAGATATAGATTTGCAATATTAAAAAGAGCATGCAAATTGATTATTATATTATTTTTATTATAGAATGGCATTTATATAACCATGTCCTTGGTAATTTAATCTAGCTTCATTTGACTTACATCATAAGGAAGGTTTAGATATTACCCTTGGCAATTTGTCTTTGCTAGAGTAAGCAACAAATATTACAGAGGAAAAGTTACGTGATCGTGTTAATCTAGTGAAAGTAAGAATTCAATAATTAGCAGAAGTATTTATATATTTTCAATAATAGCGCATTAATGTTTGTAATGCTAAGTTGAATCATCTATAAAATTGTCCTTAAGCGATAGTATTTCAATCCCCTAGTAAGTTTGTTAAGAAATATGAATTCGATCCTACAAACAAGCAATCCATATTTTCAGAATGTTATAATAAACCAATTATACCAATCTATGAACCATATAAATACATTAGATTGGCCAATGAATAAGGCTATTAAGGAAAAGCACCAGACAATATTGATAGAGTAGCAACAATTCAAATGGCATATGGAAAATTCACTTAAAAAGGGAAAACTATTTTTGAAGGAGAAAGAGCCATCTCAAAAAGATAAATCTAGGGTTATGGCACAGTTCCAAGAAAACTGAAATATGTAGATGGCTTATCTGTTTTTAACTAATTAATTAACCCATATAATCATCATACTTTTGATGCACGTGAAGTATTTCCAGAACCAGCAGTAAGATTATTATTATAATATATAAGAAACAAGAGAATAAAAGAAAAAAGTAATAAGCAGATGATGAATAAGTAACTATGGCTGATGCACCAAATACAATAGGAGATACAATTACAAAATATGGAGAAGAATCATATTCTTATGTTCCATCTAATAAACCAATAGCTTAATTAAAAGTTGATGCAAAACTTAATTTGGCAGGAATTGTTGATTATGATCCTGATAATGATGATATAGATTTTTTCAATCCATCCACATAATAAAGAAATAAAAAACCAGTGGCTCCTAGTATTGCTCCTAGTATTGCTCCTGCATAACCACCTCCATAAATTTAATAAACACAGTAATAGTAATATTAATAATATTAATAACAACCATAATAATAATAAATATAATAACCTCCACCCTAATAATAATAGAATAAAAGTGCACCTCCTCCACCACCACCTCCGCCACCTCCTCCTCCTAAAGGTGCTCCACCACCTCCTCCCCCTCCTCCTCCACCTCCACCTCCTCCTCCTCCTCCTGGCCCTCCTCCTCCAGGGTAATTACCACCACCACCAAGTGGATCCAGATCTAAGTTGCTAGATGATTTAAATACTGATAATCCATTAGCTAGATTGAAACCTGTAAATAAAAACAAAGCAGTAGAATAACAAAAAGCATAAATCAAAGCTCCAGAAATGAATCACATGGATATTTTAAAATAATAAATTGCTTAAAGGTAAAGTAGATTAACAATAAATATAGATATTAGGATTTGAATAGATAACCAACTAGAACAACTAAAACAATGAGAACATAAATCATTGGTTAGAGAGTCGATGATAGTGATTATTCTGAGCATAGCGATTGAATAATTTATCATAAAAATTAGCACAAAATCACTTAATCTTATTTTTTATTCAATTTTACTTCAAGTCTGGTTTTCTTCTGGGGGATAATCTTAAAGCATTTTAACTTGTTCCTGCTTTTACATTCAAATACTTAATAGGACTTGTTTTGGTTTAGTTGTCAACTTGATCGGATTGAGAATTCACAATTAGCCTTCTGCCTTACCTTGGTTCTTCTTTGACTTCTTCTTTGGATGGAGGATTTGATTATTAATTTTAAATCTATTGTTCTTTAGGAAATAAAAGGATAGTCTAATTAAAATATGAAGCCCTTACTTAAGATTATTATCTATCTAACTATTATTACTTCTCTTCCATAACTGTGACTTTACTTTTGAGTTCGCTATATGCTTCCTTTTAAGAATCAGGTAAAGTTGTTTAATTGTTACTACCCTATAATTTTTTTTTCTAAAGTCCATTTTTAAGACCTTCTAATTGTTCTACAGCTTTTTATAAAACAACAAGCTCAAAAGTAGTGGTTTTAAGAAGACTTGGAGTTGTATTTTGATTGACTTTCTGATTTAATACATGGATTTAGTGATTTGCATTTTCTAATTATCTCTTAAGACTTTAATTTTCCTTCTCAAGAGTTTGTATACGTAATGCCATACTCTCAAGAGTTTATCCATTATATTAAGGGGTATTTTGCATTTATCTGCTTCTTTCTCTCATATCTGTGGAATAAGGTTTCATTCCTTCATTCTAGCCTCCTAGGTTTTGAGTTGGAGTGAAGGGTTGAATAGGGAACTGTCTTTACATTGGCGAGCTGGATACATTTCTTTATTATTGTTGATAAGAAGGAGCCAAATGTTATTAAGAATAATGCTACTACATATGCTACATTAATTAATATTTTAGATCAATGGTTTTTTTAATTTAGATATTCATTATGTTATATAACAAGGAGAGGATTCAATGGTGTATAAAAATTAATATCGAAAGGATCTTAATATTAAAAAATTGAATATTGTAGAATATAAAATTGTATCATTTCTTTTACTTTTAAACGGGGGCTGCACTTTAAGGTCTCTTTTTTTACTGCTTTAATCTTTCCTTTTCTTCAGCTATTCTCAATGGTCTTTGCTTTGGTCCTTCTTTTAATTTGATCATTTTCTTGAATTCATCCTCTGACTCCAATAATCTTTCTTCAACTATTCTACCTCCTTATGTAAGTACCCATTATTTCACACCTTATAAATTTCCTTGATCAAAATATTTAATTATTATTTTATGCTATTTGATCTTCCCTTACTTATCTTTAACAATAGTAGTATCTGCTAATTACATTTAAACAGTATTTAATTATGCACTCAATTTTTCCCAATTAATATCCTTTCCCATACCTCTTATACTTAACTCAGTGTATAAAGGTTTGGGAAACAATTTCTCATCTTATTCAAGATTTTTACCAGGTGAAGCTTAGGGAGATTATGATTTACTTTTTGGTTGTTTTGATTTAATTTAATCTTGAGTTTATTTATCTAACATTTGATCGTAATACTTATGTGTATCCATTTAAGAACTCATACCTTTAAGCATTTATCTTTAATGATATTTTACACCATATAGTTCACTTTCTTACATATATTCAACTAATTGTTTTGTACAACTATTTTACTATGGTTTTTATTGATAATATTTTTCAAGACCATTTCCAAAAACATCAGAGAAATTAGGATTTTTTTATTTCAATTCAGAATTTGGATTATTGACTTTATCATATACTTTTGCTGGATTTTACAATTAGTTAGATTATTATTATTATTATTATATTTAAATATTATTATCTTATCCAGCAAATGAAGCAGTTTCAATCATTAAATTATGTTCTTTAATTACATCATATGGATTTTCTTATTATTGATTCAATAATTGTTTTTATTAATCAATTTACTATAACTATTATTAAGGTTTTATTTATTGTTATTATTATTGTAAAAATTATTAGTATTGTTATTATTAAATTTGAAGAAATTATTATTCAGTTATTTTTTAATTGTTGGACTCTGTATTTACTCTTTATTATGTGGCAGTTTGAGGTCTACTTTAAATCATATGAACATTAGGAATTATGGGATTATTAATATCAATTTTCTTGTTTTCTTTTAAATTTTAACTATTCCACCAGAACATATCAAATGGCAAAATTTCTAGTATTTTAATAAATGCATTACTTTCTGCATGCTAATTTGGAGTGACTTTACTATAATCTACAAGATCCTACTAAGGAAGATGAAAGATGTTGCTTTGTTATTGTTTAGCTTTTAAGACTTTAGAAACATTGAAGGGTGAATCATCAGGTTGTATTTGAGATTATTGAATATTGGTAACTTATTCAGTCAAAGTTTTTGGATGAGGTTCATAATTGTATACCACAATATTCTTTTGATTTTTCTGTTAGGACATTAATTTTAATATTCAAATATTCGAACATCCATTATTTTCTGGCCAATATACATTATCAACATGCATATTATTCAATTCTAAGTTTTGTACCCATTATCCTAGTGAATTAGCAATAGTCCATTATGATCCATTTGGAATAGCCCAATTTGGAGTATAAAATATTGATTTTTAAGTAAAGCTATAATAAATACTACTATATTTAATACCAATGTTCAAGACAAGATACTCCAAAAGCCCCAGTTTTTGGATCTGCTAATTTTCTATCATTAATGAGATTTATAATCTATTTACGCATAGCCTCTATACAAGATCTCTCTTTGTAATCACATCTTTTTAATGTATAATCCCAAGCATTATAAATATGTAATATATTTGGAATGCAAGCTGTATCATATAAAGATTGCATAAAAAATATAGGCACATTGATGAATTATATTAGATATTAAGCAAAATGACATTTCCATTTCTCATTTGGATAGCTTTTTACACACTATTCATTTAATGGATCTACTTCTTCATTTGCAAGTTTATGATATTATTTTTATCTTCTATCACTAGCAGCTTAAGCACCATCATATGGTTGTAAATCCAGAAAAATACCTGAATCTGGAGCTGCCAACACTAAGACATTACTAGGTAAATGATTTTTTATATATTATATCCAACTAAATACAGCTAATCCTCCTGCTGAACAACCAGATACTAAAATTTTACTTGCTTTAGTCAATTTTGTAAGATGCTCTTAAAATATTGATTTAAATATTAATTCTCCTCTTATATAAATCAACTTATCTTTAATTTATAAAGGCTAAGCTCTATATCCTTAATGTCCTGTTCCATCACAATAATTTACAAATATTGTATTCCAATTATAAAAATAAGGATTAACATTTTAATTTCTATTAAATAAACCATCCATTTAAGTTGTTGCTGCCGAAAACTTTGAACTACCCATATTTGTATTTGAACGATCATAAGCCTATTATAGCATTTCTGCTTCATCAAATCCTTAAATCCATCCTCCACCCTCATAAAATATTAAATATTTATCTGCTCCATCTCCATATCCTTATTCAAAATAATAACTCTAAAATATAGAAACATCTTACGGCTCTTGTACCATCCAAACATAAAGCATTTTAATCTTGTACTTATCTTAATGTTTAAACAGCAATCGAAATATGTATAATGCAATAAAGGATTAGATACATTACTTATATAAAATATATAATTGAAATCTTTTCAATGTAGATCTCTAATTCTTTTTAATTTTTCATTGATTGTGAATGCAATTGCTGTAGCTGGTATTACTTTAGCATAAGTACAAAATAATCCTCTATAAAATACAATCAACCCTTATTCCTTATACATTAATTTCATTGTCTCTAAATAACTAGAATGTGTATTTCCTATAGTAATTATAAAATTAATAAATACCTTATAAAATCTAAACCTATAATCGTCTTCTTATAACATCTGTTGGATATGTGATGCTTAATGCCATACATCCTGCTAAACCACCAAATAAAAGATTTTAGGTGTCTTTATTAATAAAACTCAATAAAGATGACAATTTTTATCGTAAGATTTAGAAAAAGGTTAGTTTAAAACTGGAGTAAGGTGATATACCAATTAATGTAGCAGATAATCCTTTAAATAATGATAATGGACCTTTTCTTTAGACTATTTTAATTAAACAATCAGTAATTCCCTTGTATTCCTAGTCTATTTAATAATAATAGATTACTTGTTTATACAGCTAAGATTGTTTTGACTAAGTCAAAAGGATAAACAGTCATTGTTGCTAAAGCTCCTGAAAATGCTCCAAAAATTAACATTGAAATATTCTAAGCATTTTAGTTCTTAAATTAAAAAGTATTTTTAAGTATGTCAAATAAATAAAACTCAATTGCTTAAAAAGGAGCAATTCTTAAGCAATTTGCTCCATTACCTTTAAACATACTTCTTGCTCCTTCTTAAGTGTACATTATATAAAGACATCTGATCAATGATTTTCTTTAGTAATTGGATACATTTGTTTGCTTAAGAATAATAGTTCTCTCTATAGGAGCAACGAAAGATCGAGAAACTGCTCCTGATATTGCTCCTGAAATTAATCGCCATTATGTTTCTGAGAATAGATATTTATCTTATTAAGCCATAAATTAATTTTAAATATGACTTTCATGTTTCAATATATCTCATAAAACAGGAAACATTTAAACAATAATTTTTTTTGAAATTCTACTACATGAATCTTATTTTGGCAGTACTAAACCGATTTATCAAAATTAATAGATGATATAGTATAGTTTTTGAAGTCATCTTATTCTTGTTTAATTAATTTATTGTAAAGATTCTCATAAAATCATGATATAAATTTATATTACATAAAACTATATTATTTAATCAAACCAGAATTCGTATCTAAAATTTTTATCTTTCTTTTATTAAATTGATATTATATAATTAATGAGAATAAGTATAGCTTAATTTATTTATTAAAGTTTTTAAATTTATTCAATTCATTTTCTATTTAATATTTATGTATGATTAATAAATCCTAAATTAAAGTTGATTTAAATATTAGTAATATTTATAATATTATATATAAAAATAATATTATTTAAAGTGATTAAACTAACGTAAAAAGATATAGAGTGTAAAATGAATTAAATTATTAATTTTAGTTATTAAAAGGTTTTGTGATTATCTGCTTATGGATTTTCTTTATTTAATGATATTTTAAACTAAAATTATTATTAAATTGAAATTCTTCATTTTATGAAAACTAATAGTAAATTTACTTCAATTATTTTAGGTTGAACTTGTATAAAAAACAGTATCTAATTATATTTGTTGAAGTTTAATCGAATATATATTTGGATCATAAATTATTTATTGTTCTTTAGTTATGATAGAAGGGCAATATGTAGAATATTATGGTTAAATTTTCAACAACTTAACTTAGGTTAGTTTACTTTAATTATCAGCTGTTATTTTATAATAAAGTATATATATATACAAATAAAATATATTAGATATATATTATTTATATATTAAATTAAAAATGGATTAAAAAGCTACATATAGGACTAGTGTTCGTAGATCAACAGTGTAAGTTGGTGGGAGCCCTTCAAATATGTATAGACCTGAATATTGTAATGTTAAAATATAATAAAAATAGAGGTTGAACAATTTGGATTATAAGCCAGTCCAAGGGATACTTCCAAAATATGGGAGTTAATGGATTCGTACTAAGGGAGTGACAAGTTAGCATTGTAACAATCTATTGTTCATCATGTTGAGTACACATTAGCCAGAACACGCTTTGATTTCTCTAAATTTCATAGTTACTAAGCCTTATCTCATTCAGTAAGAGATAGATTGATTGAAGCATTTAATGATACAAATTTACATTTTCATTAGATGGACGCCAAACGTATCTACTATTTGAGTTTGGAATTTTTAATAGGAAGATGCTTATAAAATGCATTGGTTAATTTAGATTTGGAAGAAGATTACAGAGAAGCTCTTTTAGATCTTGGATATAAATTAGAAGAGTTATATGATGAGGAAGTAGATCCAGCTTTAGGAAATGGAGGTTTGGGTAGATTGGCAGCTTGCTTTTTGGATTCTCTAGCTACTCTAAATTATCCATCATTTGGTTATGGAATAAGATATACTTATGGAATATTCAAATAATTGATAAAAGATGGTTATTAAGTTGAATCTCCAGATTTTTGGTTGAATCATGGAAATCCATGGGAAATAGAGAGATTGGATGTTTAATATTAAATTAGGTTTTATGGTTTTGTTAAAAAAGTATGGGATCATGGAGTTGAAAGAAGTGTTTGGGAAGGTGGTGAAACTATTATGGCTAGAGCATATGATACTCCAATTCCTGGATATAATACATAAAATACAATAGCATTAAGATTATGGAAATCTCATCCTGCCTCAGAATTTGATTTTAGTAGTTTCAATACAGGTGATTATTTCAAAGCATTGGAATAGAGATAAAAGGCAGAATATATAACATCTGTTTTATATCCAAATGATTCAACTGAAGCTGGAAAAGAGTTAAGATTAAAATAGTAATATCTTTTAGTTTCTGCAAGTATGTAAGATATAGTAAGAAGATTTAAGAGAAGAAAGGTATTAGATTGGAATGCATTTCCATCAAAGGTGGCTGTATAATTAAATGATACACATCCAGCATTAGCAATTGTTGAATTACTTCGTATATTGATAGATATTGAATAATTGGATAATATGTCTGCTTGGTAAATAGTAACTAAATCATTCAATTATACAAATCATACAGTATTACCAGAAGCATTAGAGAAATGGGGAGTACCTTTGATTGAAAAATTACTACCAAGACATTTAGAAATCATATATTTAATTAATTTCTTATTTTTGGAAAAAGTATAATAGAAGTATCCAAATAATTGGGGCAAGTTAAGTGCACTTTCTATAGTAGAAGAAGAAGGAACAAAGAAAGTTAGAATGGCTAATTTATCTATTGTTGGTTCAAAATTTGTAAATGGAGTTGCAAAGATACATACAGAATTATTGAAAACAACTATATTCAAAGAGTTCTTTGAAATGCATCCAAATAAATTTTAAAATAAAACTAATGGAGTTACTCCAAGAAGATGGGTTAGATGTGCAAATCCAGCATTAGCTGCATTATATGATAGAGTATTAGGTAGTGATAAATGGGTCTAAGATATGGAGTTATTGAAATAATTAGAATCAAATGTTTCTGATCCTTAATTTGTTAGGGATTTTTAAATGATAAAAATGGAAAATAAAGAGAGATTTGTTCATTGGATTAGAAAGACATGTTAAGTAGATTTAAATATTGATTCATTGTTTGATATATAAGTTAAAAGAATACATGAATACAAAAGATAATTGATGAATATTCTTTATGTGATTTATAGATATTTGATGATTAAGGAATCTACTCCTGAAGAAAGAAAGAGAATAGTTCCTAGAAGTGTATGTTTTGGTGGTAAAGCAGCACCTGGATATATTAATGCAAAAAGAGTCATTAAATTAATTAATTCTGTTGCTGATGTTATTAATAATGATCATTAAATTGGTGATTTATTAAAAGTAGTTTTTATGCCAAATTATAATGTAAGTAATGCTCAAATTATTATTCCTGCTGCAGAACTATCATAACATATCTCGACTGCAGGAACAGAAGCATCTGGTACTTCTAATATGAAATTTATTATGAATGGTTGTTTAATCTTAGGTACATTAGATGGAGCAAATGTAGAAATAGATGAAGCAGTTGGTAGAGAAAATATATTTATTTTTGGAACTTAAATTGAAGATGTAGATAATATGAAAGAAAAGATGAGAAATACTGATCCTCATGAATATTTCCCATAAGAATTACTTAAAGTATTTACAGAAATTGATAATGGAAGATTTGGACATAATGAAGAATTGAAATGGATTGTAGATAGTATTAGATATAAGAATGATAATTATTTAGTTGGTTAAGATTTTAAAGATTATATCAAAGCATAATAATAGGTAATAATTTATTAAGATATGTTTAGGTTGATGATTTGTATCGCTAACCAAATGAATGGGCTAAAAAGAGTATTTATAATGCTATAAGATCTTATAAATTTAGTAGTGATAGAACTATCTAAGAATATGCTGAAGAAATTTGGTAATTGAAACCAATCAAAGTTCCTGAACCAGCAGTTTAAAAACATGAAAGAGTTAAAGGTATTGCTTTGAGCAAATCATAATAAGAAATGGCTGATAAAATAAAAAATTGATATCATTAAATAAAAAATCATAAATTATAATCATAATTTAATTTTAACTAATTATTATTCTGCAATAATGAGTTCTTTAGTGTATTAATTGACGTCAAATTTAAATTAGGATATGGAAGATAATTCCTTTAATTTTTAATAAGATTATAATCTAATTAAAGATTATCTCAATTATTTTAAGTCTTCTCTCAAATCAAAAGCATTAATTATTAATGAACTTAATTATTATAAATAAAGTATATATTATTCTGTATTCCACTCTTTAATTACAACCCTATTAATCACAGTATTTTTATAAGCAGCATGAATAGATTCAATAAGATTTACTTTGAAAACTAAACTTAATAATTATTTCTCTGAAGCATAAACAAATAAATGTCTAACTAAAGTCATGAAAATTCTTTAATAAACTCCATTATGAAAACTAGTATGAAATTATATTGTTAATATGTGCATAGCAGTATCATTCAATTTTATAAAGATATTAGAATATTTTATTTTAACATTGCAAATCATAAGTTACAAAATCTCATACATAACTATTTTTTAAGTTCCAATGACATTTACAGAAAATTATTATAAATTTAATTATTAAGGAAACTATTATTACTTATTTAATAATGAAATATTCCTGCATAATCTAGGAATTTGATTTCTATAAATTTTATTGCATTATTCCTAAAGACTATTACAATTGGATAATTTCTTAAGTATATTGATTATTAAAAATCCTAATTCATAAGCACTACCATTTTCAGGTTCTAATATTTTTAAAGTATAATGTTTAATTAATTTTTCAAAATTTAATAATTTTTCATCAATTATTTGTGTAAAACAATCATTTTAAGCCTAAAATTTATATTTTTAACTTTGAAATGTATTAACAATAAAATTTAATAATTGAGAATTTTAATAAGAAGCAAATTCATTATTATATTGAATATATTCTTAATATTCTTCTCTCATAATATGATCAACAACACTAATATCACTATTTGGATAAAATTTATGACATCTTGAAGCAGAAGTAGGAGATGAAATAGGATTGTTAAGTTTTTTAAAATTATTAGAAATTTCTTCAATATTTTCTATTTTTAAAGACTTTTTTTTCTTAAATATAAATTCCTATCCTTATTTTGAAGATTATCTTACAATTCTACTTGTATGTACACTACCTCCACTAATTTTTGTACTTGATTTAAGAGAAGGTAATTTAGTATCAACAGATTTATTTTCACCTAAAAATGATTTTATATCTACAGGTTTATAATCTATTTAATTAATTAAGAAATCTGATTTGAAGAATTAATCACTTTATACACTTCTATGTGTTTATTTAGGTATATTCTTTTCACTACCTAATTAAGTTGTCCCTTAATTTGGAGTAATTGCATCTTCATTATCAAGTTGATTATTATGATAATACTATATAACATCTTTAAGTCTATCTATATCCTATTAATTTCCATTTAATTCTGATAAATGTATATTTTCTACAAGTATTATTTTATTGAATTTTCCAGTCATGGTTGTTCCTGAATGTCTCCTAGAATAAATTTAAGTTTAAGCTGCATGTAAAACTCTTTTTTTTTTAATTAAATTTTATTAAATAGTCTTACCAGGCATTAATGGACCTAGAAATTAATCTAAATTAGAACTCAAATTATAAGTATGTTATTCTGAAGTATTTTCATCTGAAAATATAATTAAATAATTTTTTTACCATTAATTACTTTTTAGTCATAAATACGTTTTAGAATATTATATCCTTCTTTTGAAATATGAAATTCTTTTCTATTTACACCCAAATAGTCTTTATTAATAATACGTCCAATTATATATGAAATGAAACCTTGGCTATTCAAAAAATACCAGATTTCATCTTTTAATTATGCAGGGATTCTAATATAAGTTGGGTCTATAAATCTGATTAAAATGTCAACTACATATGAATTATCTAATTAGATTTTTATAATGAATACATATATAATCTAAGAATTAAAAGTGAAGATTGCAATACAGAAAGTAATATATCGTATCTTTAGTGTCATTCTTTAGATAAAATTAAATAAGTGCCACAATATGAGTGATGTTACCAATTGATTAATTGTTCTATAAAAACCCTGAGATTGATCGAACTAGATTATTTATTAATTAAAATATACAAATAATTTAGGTGAGATGATTATTAGCTTCTGTTAACAATTTGTGATTGTGTATATCTGTTAGAAAGAGTAATGTTTTAAATGACCTAATTGTAAATAATTTATCTATTTTTATATTCTTAAATTTTTTGTAATCGTTTTCATCAAATTCTATTGAATGTTCTGCAAGTAAATCAGTATCAAATATAAGACTAGGTTATGAGAAATATGGATCTGTTATAAAGTATATTAAATTTTAGAGTCTTTCATTTGATTTAAAATATTCTGCTTAATCAGAATCAAGGATTCGAGGTTTTTCTTAAATAAGAATTTCTTCAATATTGAGATTATCTATTATTTCATCATTAAGAGATCCAAATGATTCAGATCTTTATCTAGATACAGCAGGAGATCTCATTGAAGGTGATGAAAGAGTATTTTAATGATGTAGAACTCTTCTATTCTAACTCTCTTATAATCCAATAGCAACAGATCTGAAATGTTAATCTTCAGTATTTTTATTGCTTTCTTCCTGATACAGCTATAGAACGGCTAAATATATAATATTAGTTACTTGATTCAACCAATTCACAAAACTAACTAAGAGATCTAATACCATATCCATACTCTTCCTTTACTGCTTCGATTTTATTCATGATGTGTAATACCATCTTCTCTGACTCTGCATGTTTCAAAAATATAATAAAACCATAACAAATATCATCTAATTCTAAACTATCATAATATTTCTTTATGGTTACCATGCTTCTGCTGCACAATGAAGAACTTATTAAAAATATTCAAGAGAATAAAACTTAGATGAACTAATCGTATTTGATTTAAACACTGCATACTCTTCTATGGCTTTACAACATCCCTTAATCCATTCTACTTAGTCTTTGAACACATTAAGTAACTGTCCCAAAATCATATCAATAGTTTCAGGTAACAATGGATAAACAATTAACAGTAGCTTAACTAACCTAGGATCTTTTATGTATGTATGACGATCAGGAAATGGCAATGAGTTAGTTATTATCTTAAGAGCTGGAAGTAATTTAGTCACTGTATCATTTGATTTAATGGCAGCTTCCAGTTATTCCATTACTTTCATTTTTATTATTATAAAAAATACTCATTTTTATTTACTTAATAGATACAAATCAAGAACAACAATTGCTGCCATGCTTTCAATTACTGGCACAGCTCTACTAACTACACAAGGATCATGACGGCCATGAGCCTCTAAAATAATATCTTCTCCTTTAAAATTAGATGTCTCTTATTCAAGACCTATTGTAGAAACTGGTTTGAATGCTACTTTAAAATAAATATTTTCTCCATTTGTTATACCACCCAAAGTACCTCCTGCATTATTAGTGATAGGTTTTAAATTTTTGAATCTGTCATTATGAACACTTCCTCTTAATTTTGTTCCTTCAAAACCTGAACCAAATTCAAAACCTTTTGTTGCTGGAATACTCATTATAGCATGAGCCAAGACAGCTTAAAATTTATCAAAACATGGTTCACCTAATCCAACAGGACACCCTTTAATAACACAAGTTACAGTTCCTCCAATAGAATCCTTATCATGTTTTACTTACTCTATTAATTTTACCATTTCTAATGCAGATTCCTAATGTGGATTTCTGAATTAATATTATGTATTAACTTCTTCAATTTATTCTTGAGTAGGTGGATTTAATATTAATTATTGTTAGACTTCTTTAGGAATTTCAATATTCCCAACAGAAGAAACCCAAGCAGAAATTGATATATTCATTTAACATAGAAATTATTAGGCTATAGCACCTGCACAAACTCTTCCAATAGTTTCTCTTGCAGAGGATCTACCTCCTCCACTTTCTGCTCTGATTTCATATTTCATTTAATATGTAAAATCAGCATGACCAGGACGAGGTATTTAATCAAATTATTTATAATCTTATGGTCTCATGTCTTCATTATAGACCATAATCATTATGGGACTACCTAAAGTTAAATTTTAAGTATTGAGTCCACTAATTATAATTGCTTTATCCTTTTCATCTCTTTAAGTTGTTAATTTAGTTTATCCAGGTCTTCTTCTATTTAATTGATATTGTAATGAATCTTAATCAATTTTAAAATTAGATGGAAATCCATCAATAACACAACCAACTCCTTTAGAATGAGATTCTCCAAAAGTTGTAACTCTATACTTTTAACCAAAAGTACTCATTATTAATTATAAATATTTAAAATTAATATGTTAATCATAATTCATTTTATTTTTTTCCTTTTTTAATTAATTGAATTTAAGAATGACTATCGAAACCTGAACTAGATACACTTTTAACACTGCTTTCTAGTTTTTAAACCTTTTAAATCTTTTTGTTCAACTTAGATTTTGTATTATTATTTTCATTTTTTTTATGTGATTTTTAGGATGTACAAATTTCAGAAATTAAATCATCTTATCCTTTAGTTTTCTTTCTATAGGGTCTCTTTTGCCTATTTTAATGATTTGTTTAAGCACTTGAATTTCTAAATAAATAATACAATTTTACCTATCTTATTATTATGTCTATGATGATTTTTTTGAAGTTTTACTTTTTTCCTTTCTTCTAGTAAATTTAGTTTTAGATTATTCTTCTGCACTTTTACTTAAATCTATACTAGATTAATAACTTTCACTTTAAAATTCTTCTGTTTATTTATCAAGTTAACATTCTGTATTTCCCATATATCTTGTACACAAAGTAGGACTGCAAGAAAACTTTTCTGCATTTAAAACTAAAATAAGTTCAGTTGGTTTATATTTCATAAAGATTTCTACTTCTTCTCCATCTAGACATTTAATACATCTAAATGTTTAATCATTTTTTATTTAATAAAAGATGAAAATTTCCATTTTGCAATTATTACATTACAATACTTCTCTAGAATTGAATTTCTTTTTACAATTCTTTATTTTTGTAGATTACTTTAAGTAATTATCTATATCTTCCTATATAAATTTATGTAAGAATGTTTTTAATACAGGAGATTTACGATGTATATAAATATCTAGAAACAAATTCTTAATAGGTAGAACACTTGATATTTAGTATTGGTCATTAATAAGTTATCTATCATATATTTATTGAAATGTATCTTCTGAATAAACTAATAAATTCCAAGATGTATTTATAGTATTTCCTAGACTCTTTACCCAATGTAGACATCCAGCTCCCAAAATCACTAGATCTCCTTTTTTTTATATTGTATATTTTATGGGTATATTGTTTTCCAAAAAGAAATCAATCTCCTTAAACCATAAGCCTTCAATTTAATATAGATTTGGCATTATTTCATATAATTTTTTTACATGTTGAGCATCTACAGTTAACCAAAGACAATCTCCTGGACCATGATTAAAATTTAAAGAATTTACTGATGAATTTTCTTAATGTCCACCAGTCCAAACTCCTTTAGTCTTTATATATATCTATGGAATATTAACTCCTAAACAGAATTGTCTCATATATACTAATCCATCATATTTTAATAATGATTGTGGCATATATTCATATAATTAACCTGTTTCTTCATCCCAATTATCCATATCTACATTTACAGCAAATAGAACTTTATCAGATGAATATTCTGTATGTTTTTAAAAGAACTCTGTTTTATTTTTTAAATATTTGCAATACTCATCAATTCTCATTTAATTAGCTATACAATTCTATTCAATTGTTGGAGTAAAAGTATCTGTATTTGGATCTTGAATTCGAATGTCAACCATTTAATTACCATGCCTTTTAGCTATATCTTCAAAAGTAAAACACTTAGAATTCAATTTATTCACTATATCAGTAGGCAATTACCAGACTGTTACTTATTCTCTTAACCAAGTTTCTGGTGATTCAACCTAACAGTCAAGAGAATAAGTTTATTCCACATAAAATGCTTTTTCAAGACAAAGTCCATTTAATTTAGAATTTTATTTCTCATAATTCAATAAATATTTCTAAAATACTTTGAGTTATTTTTTATATAATTCAGAATCAAATATACTGCATTATCTAGAATAAACCTAAATATTTGATATAGAATACTTAAATAAATCCACCTTAAATTTATACATCAGAATACAAATCCTATGTTTCTTTAGCTTCTAAAATATCAAGTTCTTCTTAACTAGGTGTAAAATGCTCCTTAATAAAGCTTAAATACATTCTCACAATATTTATTATAATTTAAGTCTGATATTATTTAAGAGGCACTAATTATCAAACAAATAATTATCTTGATTTTTTATTTATTAAAAACAATTATAAATTTCATTTTTTATTTAAATACACATCCAATAATTCTTCAAATACAATTAATCCTATCTAATCTTAACAAATTCTTTTGCTTATTCCACTATATTCATAGGGTCAAAACTCTTTATAATATAATTATTGTAATACTATATTCTAATAAGATTTATATCTAGTATGATAGTATGAAAATGAGATAATATTTATTTTCTCTATGATTTTTATAACTATTTATGTATATCTAGCCTTAACCTAATGAATTTATATAATATTAAATTATTCTAAATAAAAATAATATTTATAATTAAATATAAATAATGTTTATATATTTAATTCTAATTTCACTTGTCTTAACTATTCAAGGTGTTGAAAAATCAAAATTATTTTCATATAGAATTATTGCTTTAAAAGACTATGACTTTTTCAATCAATTACAAATAGGTAAATTTGATATTGATTGATAAGATAAGAAAATGGAAAAGCCTTGGTTAGTATTTTTTTTTATGGAACATGAATAATAATCTAAAGAATTTATACCAATATTTGATAAATTAGCAGAGGAATTCAAAACTACAAATATGTACTTCTCAGCTGTTGATATGTATTGAATTGATTTAGATAAGATATGAAAATGAAGATGTTAGAGATAGAATAGTTGTTTAGACATTTCCATAATTAGTTTACTTTGATATGAATAGTCTAATGTATAGATATAATGGAGAATTGACCTTTGAAGGTGTTTCAAACTTTGTGAAGAATGAAGAATGGAATTAACTTTAAGGAAAGAAAGTTCCTAAAGAAATCAATTATTGGAAGAGATCCATAAGAAAGCTGACTGGTTTTGTTGCTGTAAAAATAAGTAATAATTATCATTAGATTTTAATTTACTCAATAATTTTTAGTATAATTGCAATAATCTGTTACTTTTAAAATAGATCACAAAAAAATTTACTAAAGAAAATTAGAAGAATTGATATAGCACAATAAAATATCTAAGAAAAGAAAAAGAAATATATGAAGATTGAATGAGTTATTTGAAAAACTAATTATAAAAATAATAAGCAATCAAAATAAAATAATATTATCAATTTTTCAATTAAACAAAAATATCTATTTCTATGTGAAACTTTTTAATCAATGATTTAAAATTTATTTTAGAAAAGTTTTAATCCTATTTTTATATTGAAATATAAAGGATTTTTCTCCTTTTTAAAAAAATAAAACTTAATATCAAAACTTGCAAGCATATTAAGAAAAGTTACTATTTACTTGTAATTCATAAGTGTTAAATAAAAAAACTTTATTAAAATAGAATAACACTAAATTATGATCTAGTTTTATCAAGGTAAATGGATTTATATAATGTAAATATTATAATAATGTTAGTTTACTTTAAATACTGCATATAAAACATTTTTATTAAATATAAGTAAATAAAAATTTATATATTAGAATTAATCATAAAAAAAGGCTTTGATTAAATTTGATTTCTGTAAGAACAAGAACCAAAGTTAATTTAGCAATCCTTATGTTTATCTTTATTATTCTTATGAATTTTAATAAGATGAACTTGAGTGATAATTAAAAGAATCTTCTATTAGAATATTAATATATTGGTACCTTAATGAAATTCAAGAAAATTAAACTATAATTAATCTGTAAAGATGTGGAATTGATGAATTTGTAGTGATAATCAAACAATTATTCGGTAAGGTAAGTAAATTTTTTGGGAATTCTTTAGTATATATTATTACAAAACATATTGCTTTTGTATAAATTAACATCCTCCTTATAAGGTTTAAAATATAATATTTATAAAACATCTATAAATAAGAAGGAAGTTGTGTAATCATGTTAAATTTCTATATCGTCTTCAATATTGAATTTTATTATATTTTGTAGCAAATCTTATTTTATATATTTTCATCACTTATAACCATGACAAATCTGATGGGGAAATATAAATAATTAAATTAAATTTTGAATGGTGCCAAATGATAAGTAAATTATTTCTCAATTGTAGTTAATTGGAATGTAATGAAATAGAAGATGATAAATAGTCAGCGAAAGCAACAACAAAAAAAATACAAAATAGAAAAATATGGTCCTAAAAAGAAGACAAGTTGTTGGAAAGAGCAATTCATGAACTTGGAACTAATTGGAAAGAAGTGGCTAAGCATTTATATAATCGAAATCCTTCTTAATGTGCTTAGAGATGGAAGAGAATTAAGCCTGTCTCTGTATGTTTAATTTTAAATAAGCTCAGTAACGCTCTCGACATTCTTGGAGTGCAGTTGAAGACGAATAATTATTAGAATTAGTTAAAATACATAAACGGAATTGGGGAATGATAGCAAGCATAATGCATTGGAGAACAGGAAAGTAAATTAGAGAACGATTTATTAACAAATTAAATCCAGAAATAAGGGCTGAACCATGGTCAAAGGAAGAAGATCTAATTGTCATGGATGCTTATTAAAAATATGGATCTAGATGGACAGAAATATCCAAGTTATTAAAAGGGAGACCTGTATAATTTATAACTAAAATTTATTTAGGAAAATATGATAAAAAATAGATTTTATTCCTTTATTAGAAAAGAATATATGAATATTTAAAATCCTTATTACATTATACCTAATTCATAATAAAAAACTGACACTGATTAATTAAAATCAACTTAACAATCAAATGAAATTCTAAAACAAGATCAAAATGATAATAGTTAATCATCTAAAAGTAGTATTATAAAAAAAAGGAAACATTCTAAAATCTAAAAGAAGAAAATGAAAAAATAAAAAGCCATTAAAAAAATAAAAGAGTAAGAACAAAAAATAATTAATAATATTGTAAATGATTAGAATGAAGAAGTTTTGAATGGAATAGTCTCAGCTGAGAGCTCAGAAGTTTAAGTAAAAGAAGAAGATGATAACGAAATTTAAGTTAAAAAAATTGCTTAAAGTGTATTAAGTTAAAGTTTAAACAATAATTTAAATCAAATTAATAACATATAGAATTCATAATAATTATTTAATGATCCTATAAGATCATTATATAATTCTTAAGTCTTTTAGAATTAACCTTCATAATCATAGTAATTTTAATAACAATAATGTATATATTTTTTATTAATTCAGATTTTGCTGCTATGTATTATAAATACTATGAAGGAATTGCAAATTTGATCAAAAGCTAAAGTCTTTCATAATCATAATTATTAAAAGAAAGTCTTCCAATCCTATCAAATGCTACTAGTTAAGAAACACAACAATCTTCGTTGATGTAACTTTCCCTATCAAACATGAATTTTCTCCAATTTCCATACATGTTTAGACAAGAGTCTTTTCCTCATTCAATGAACAATTCATAATTTTGAAATAGAGTCTGAGCCTTTTCACTTATCAAATATATATATGTTAAATTTTTATTAAAGATGTTTTAAATATAAAATTTATATTAATCATTTTTAATTATTACAATCTTATTATATTAAATAACAAGTAATGAATATGAATATTAAATAATAAAAATTAAATTTTATTGTTATTTTAAATAAAATTCATTGAGTGTAGGGTAGGCTTTTATAATATAGTGATTAAAAAAGAGTTTATACATTAAAATTTAATCTAATAATGAATATCTTAAATGCTGGATTGCTTTAGAAGTGCCTGGGTAAATCAATATATGTAAGATCTAAGAGATGTTATTGTTATAAAAGTTTTATTATTATGTATTAGAAGGTTTAATTATTTAAATAATATGTGATTCTAAGAGATAAGAATAGTTAAACAATAAATTTTGTGTACTTTCTTTATTAATAAATTTATAGTGTAAAAGATAATAATTTTGAATGTTATAAATAAATATATAATTAGAAAAATATATATTATTTAAAATGATTAAATATATTGTTCAAATAATTTATGATGACTATTTGACAACTCTAGCCAGAGTTTATTATAAATTCTATAATTCTTATAAATATCTAAGAATTTTATATTATATTTTTACCCTCTTGGGATTGTAACAATTTCTGCAGTGGGCATTTGTGAGAAATATGACTGCATTTTAACTATATCTGTTAAGGGTATTTTTTCAATGAATTTAGGTGGAGATGAATTCTTTAAAAATTTATTAAAATTGTTTGCATTTTTATTAACATTAAATATATCTTTTGTCTAAAGTGGTTTACTAGTCTCATAAATATTCTCTTTTTAAGGTTATTAAGAATATTTATAAAAACTAATATCTTTAGAGTTATTTAATTGTTTTAGTTGAAGATCTAATTTTGTGTCCCAACTTCTAAATCTTTCTAAATTAATTGGAGATTAATCTCTTCCTGATTATCTTGATAAAAGAGCTTAAGATGATCTTTTTGGTTTTAATAAATTAGAGAATGAGTTATCTTATCTACTAAAAGAATCATTTTATTCTTTTTTAAATAATTAATCCACTTTTCTTTATTGTTAATAATAAAAAGTATTTTATGACTAATTCTTATCAATAAATTTCTTTTGAGTGCTGCAATGAATAAAAATAATGTTTACAAAATTTCTTCCATATTTAATCCTCCTTATAGACTTTTCTTTGGAGAAGACTTAGCCATATATTTAGCCACATTACCTTCGCTGTAAATAATTTGAAAAACTTACGTATTTTTTCTTTCATGTTTCTTCCAACTTGTTAATAAAATTGGTTTCTTTTCTTACTATGGAATAAAAGGCTCTCTCTAACTAATATTATTGCGGATTTCTTTTCTAAAATCAGCTAATTATGCTTTGTTCACTTAATTCGTTGTTGAAAATGTTTGAAAAGACCCATTTTGCTTTTCATATCTTTGTTGCTTAGACTTTTATAATCTTAAAGAATAATACTGGTGAAAATAGAGATGGCGATCTCATAACGACTGTATTTTAATATTAATTTAATTTGAATTATAAATTCTTATTAACTAATAAACTTTCTAGTTGAATATAATTAAATTATAAGTCTTATTAAATTACTCAATCTAATTTAGATCTATTAAAATTTGAAATGATCATAGCATTATCAAGTTACAAATTTAATAAAATTATGAATAAATTAATTTACTAATAAAAAATATAGTATTAACAAAATTGCTTTTTTGTTATTATCACAATTCTCATTAATAAAATCCTTAATATATGTATTGCCCAATTTATGGAGCTAAACCTATTATTCTTAATTCTAAGGCATCTATATCTTGTATTATTTCTTAATCATCATGCTACAGTTTCTATATTTAATCTTGTAATATGGCAAACTCTCCAGTTTAAACAACTTCAAATTAATTTATTTTCTTTAATAAGACCATCAAAGGCTTACTTATTTTAATTTATGTATTCTTAAACTGATATCATATTCTAAATTAATCTAATCTTTCTTTTATTAATGTTCAATGGTCTATATTTAATATCTTAATTGGCTTATTGATTCTCTCAATGGTTTCATACTCTATCTGGAGCTAGCAATTAGATCCTGTTAATAAACTAATCAATATACTCTGACTTCTCGTATATGTTCATAAGCTGTGGAAATAAATACTTCTTGTGACAAAGTGTCCTCATAATGGCTAATATTCATCTGTAACACTCTTGTTGAATCTGGAAATGATTCAATTCTTGTTGAATCGTTATTCAATTTATAGCCACTATATGAAGAAGTACTTATTGATTTTTTCATAAAAATAATAAAAATTAAAACCATTTTTACAAATTAAGTCTAATCATCTAATAAGTATTATTTTATAGAGAACTTTCCTTTTATAAAAAAAATTACCTTAAAAATAGAATTAAGCATTTGAATTAAGATAATAAATAATCCCAATATAAACTTAATGAAGAGCGATGTTAAGAAAAGTATACTTGAGCATTAAAAATAAATTATACATAAATTTTTAATTCCTTCATTATAAATTAATACACACCTTATAAAGTAGATCAATAATTGATGTTAATTTCATCCTCAAAGAGAATTTATCATATATTTATCAAATACTAAAAGATTTTTTTAGTTTTTAATAATTATATATTGCTTAAAGTAGATGCTTATTGATAATGTTTAAAACAAAATTTATTGTTATTTCACTAAATATACAATCAAGATAAAATTCATGATATTATCTTAAATAATCATTAAGATTATTATAAGAAAAATTGTAATTTTGAAAATTACTTAATTAAAAATTCAATTAGTTATGTATGTGATTTTGATTATGCAAATGTTCAAAAATCTATATATTATTTTTATAAATAAAAGTTTACCAAGGTCAAAAAATAAACCAAAAGAAAAATAGCTCGAATTAAAAATATGATTTACTTTATTAATTTTCATTAAATTATTGTTTATTCTAAAAAAATAATCTAAAAATACAGAAAATAAACTTTTTAATTCTAGAATTTATTAATTATAAATAAAAGTCTTTATTAAAGAAGCTTTAAGATCATAGATACTTAAGCAAAGGCTTTTCTCTATACTATATTTATACTATCTATAAAGATTCATAAAAAACATAGTTTTAAAAGAAACATTTTTAGAGAAATTTCATAGTTAACATAACTATATTACAATAAATATTATAATTTCTATGAATAATTGATCATCATCTGAAATAAATCAAGCTTCTGGCTGTAAGACCATCAACTTTTGATACATCCTCTTCTTAGTTCACCCAATATTCAGTGAAATCTTTCTTATCTTATTCATTATTAATGTCGATTCTTCTGAAAACATGATAATCATAAGCAACATGATCTTTCTAAAAATTTATGAATTATAATTATTACCCATTCTTATGGTACTTCAATTCCTCTCCAAATCCATGCTCCTCTAATTTCCAAATTTGGTTCATCACCATAAACTCCATGAATAGCAAATGAATATTTTCTGAAATTTTAATCCAATCTTTAGTTAATAAATCCTTTCATTAAATTATTTGTTAAAATTATTTATTTACCCTCATTTTATGATTTATTATAGGTGATAATCCATAAGGACCAACCTTGAGTGTCAACTGAAGTAAAAAGTTATTAAATATTCTTTGTAATGTCTTTTTCAGCAAAAAATGCTCTTTTATAATCATCAATATTGAATGGAGATGGAGGAAGTAAATCTAAAGGATTTTTTTTCTTTTCAGGAGCAGGTTCATCATCTTCCTAATCTTTTTATTTTTATGCCTCCTTTGGCTTTTCAGCTTCCTTTGGTTTCTATTCCTTTTACTTTTATTCTTTTGGTTTTTCTTCCTTGGGTTTTTATTCCTTAGGTTTTTCTTCTTTTGGTTTTTATTCTTTAGGTTTTTCTTCTTTTGGTTTTTATTCCTTTTACTTTTGTTCTTCTTATTTAGGTAATGGGAAAGCAACTTTACATAATCTAACTCTTCCAAAATTCTATATATATCTATATGTTATATACTTTTTTAAATTGAGGAAGTTCAGTTACAGCTGTGAACCATTTCATAAGAGAAGGATATGATTTTCTGGTTTTCTCATCAATCAATAAAGTGAAAAAGGGAGCAATTCTTACAATAAGAGTAATATCTGCAATTGTTAATTTATCCCCAACCAAATATGGAGAATTCTTGAAATGGCCCTCTAATTATTTTAATTTCTCATTAATGATATTTCTTGAAGTTTTGAATGAATCTTCATTAACAGGTAAATGTCCCCATATTTAAGTGAATGTAGTCATGAAATTTGGATCTAATTCATTTACTGTCCAATCAATCCATTAATCAACTTATGATTATTAGAAGGGAGTAGCACTTAATATAATTCTAAATATTATACCCATATAATCCTGATTCTTATTTCGATCTTGCAAGGTATCTACAGATAGCATTACTCTCATAGAGGAATCCATCAGTTGTTTCAATGACAGGAACTTTAGCAAATGGGTTTCTTGCTAAATGTTCCTTCGAATCGCATTGACTATATGCAACTTCAACTAATTCAATTGGAATTTAAAGAAGATCTGCTACTAAATGGATTTGACTGAGTCTAGGATTTGTTGATGGGCCGTATAACTTGAATGACATATTTTAATAAAAGATATTAAATTTAAATCATTTATTAATATTAGAATTCTTTCATAAATTTTGTAAACTATTAATAATTTATTCGAATGAAGGCCTTTGATTAGGATTAGGGTGCCAACACTAAGTCATTAATACTTTAATCTCTTATTAACATTCAAATTAGAGATCAGGTCTTTAATTCTGTTCAGTCACAGCCTTCATAATCTGCATTGGATTAGCTATATTCATATAGGGTATTTATCTTGAAAATATTTCATATAAAACTATCTATTTATATATTATTAAATTAATACTCCATAAGAATATACATCTGCTTTGTTTGTATACATTTCCCCTCTAAATACTTCAGGAGCCATCCAGTGCTAATTTATAATTAATAAACTTACAAATGTTCCAACAACAGCTGTCATCCATTCAGTCTTTTCCAATGCTGTTCTAGCCAAACCAAAATCTGCAATCTTAATATTTGAATCAGCACTATATGGTTAATCTAACAAAATACTATAATTTTAATTATTATATACTTTAATGATTTCAGGTCTCTATGCATAAATCCTAATTTATGAATATAAGCCATGCCTTCAGCTATAAATAAACTTAGTTTCAATTTTGTTAATTCATCAATATGAGTCTCTCTATTTCTATGAATTAAATCAAAAAGAGAACCTCCTGAACAGAACTCTGTTATGATATATAATTTATTTTAATTGAAAGTAATCCCTATTAAACACACTAAATTTTAATGATGTCTCACTTTCACCAAAGTCACTATTTCCCTCTTGTATTCTTTCATCTTTTATTCATCCTTTTCATTGATATCAATATCCTTGATTGCCACTATTTCATTTTTGTATTTTCCACGATATACTACTCCAGATCCACCTGAGGCTATTTGCTCATAAAATACTAACTCATGGTATTATATGATAAAATCACTGATATCCACTTCACCATCAATAATTTGGTTGGCATTTTCTAAAATTTAAGAATGTATTTTTTATCTGATAGGCGTTAGGTTGAAAGTTGGATTTACAGATTAAGCCAAATTTTGAGGTGCTTACTATTTCATTTCTATTTTTTATTAAAATTAATCATCATATGTCATAGGTATAAGATCTTCTTCATCATCTTCAATTACAATGTTTTATTATTAAGAATTTTATTAATGTATTTAAGGTATCTACTATTAATAAATTTACTATTAATTAATTTATTATTAATTAATTTATTATTAAAAGTTTATTGGTTATTATTATTGAGAGATATTTTATATCTTATCTTTCCTTTGCTATTAATCTTAATTTGCTATTTAAGAAAAATTAATATCAGTCGGTAAGAGAAAAGCATTTGTTTATGTCTAACGAGGTTTCTCATCAAAATTTATAAGATCAAAAGGTTCATTATTTTTATTTAAAGGAACAACATTGTCATGAACATCAAGTAAATTGGTTACTTCAATTATTTTTGATTTTTCTTGCTAGTTTTAATTTAAAATTAGAGATTAAACTTATTAGGGTTATTATATTTTAAAAGAATCATGAAAATTATTATTTTAAGGTTTATCATCATTTATTTAAAAAATAATTTATGAAAGCATTTAAGGATCAATTTCAGTTTAAATTGATTCTCTTCCTGCTTATTATATAAATTAATTATTAAATGATGATTAAGAAATAGATTATTAATATTATTGTTATTATTATTATTATTATTATTATTATTATTATTGTTATTATTATTATTATTATTATTATTATTATTATTATTATTATTATTTTTCAAATGTTTATGTAAAATCAACCCAAGGTTAATCATATTCTTATGATTATTACTAATTTCCTTAATTATTTAAGAATCCAAAATCTGCAAAGAAATCTTGATTATTACTGCTATTATAATTTGACTATATTTAATTTTATGGTTTATCAAAATCAGACATAGATAGTAGAACTTATTATAATTTTTAGACAGTCACTTAATAACTAACAGGCATTTTAATTCCATGTATAGATCTTTAAGGATTAAGTTCAATTTTTGTTTTTCCTTTAAAATATTCAACAGATTTTATATATTTAATGACTTCAGGTTGTAAAGTAGGCATGAACCTTTTTATTTCTGTGAATTCAATTAAAGTTGAACATTTTTCAAATAGCTTCTTAGTTAAGAAATAGTTTTCTTCGTATCTTTGATCAACACTTAAAATCCATTCTGTTAATTTAGCTGTATCTAAATTATCACTTGTATCTAAAGTTTCTTTAACAGCAATCCATAAATGCAGTAACATTGACAATAATGAATAGGTTTCATCAACCATTTGCATAATTATCAAAGTTTGAATCCTCCAAAGAGAATTTGGTTAAAATATTTCAGAAAGGAATAATAAACAATCTGACCAATATTTTAAGAAATCATCTATTAATTTCGATTCAAGTGGTTTCCAAAATTCTCCTCTCTCCAATGATAAGAAAAGAGGAGACAATGAATAACTTCCTTCTAATAAGTTTTTATTAGCATAACAAATAATTAATTTTTTGTTTATGATTGTAAAATAATTAGCAATTACTTTTACTTCATTTTAAGGATTAATCTTAATTCTTTGTTTATATAGATCAGTCAAAATCTTCATTATGCTCCAAATATTAGGTTGATTCTTTTATTTTTAATCTTATAAAACATCTGGTGGCCCCTTTTTAATATATTGATGTAATAGAATTGCCAATTTCATCATAACTTTTTAACTTTCAGGATGTGGTTATAATATTTTTTGTTAGATTGCAAGATAAAACTTTGGTATTTTTTCTCTTTTCAACCATGCTTTAAAAACTAAAGATCTTATATCTTCTAATCTTGGAGGGTCATCATCATTGCTTGTACTTTGGATGACCCATGCTTCTGTTTTCTTACTTAATGTGAATAGATAGCGTTTAACTTAATCAAAAAAACCAAGAGGAGCTGCCTTTTTCTCAATATAAACATTATCTACAGAAGCAAAATGTTTATTTAAATTAGGAACAGGAATTGGTTAACTAGATTTTTCTATGAATCTCTAAGGCAACTACCAATTATTTTGTATTTTTTATAATAATTCTTATGCTGTTGGCCTATTCTTAGGATTAACAACAAAAAGAGATTAAATCAGTTAGATTAGCCTAGTGTTATGTTAAAATTGACTACTTAGGTGAATATTCATGAGAATCTGGTATGAAATAATGATTATTAACTGCTGCTAAACCACTTTCAAATGGAGGTTTCTAAAAGCAAAACATAAATAACAAAACACCAAGAGCAAATATGTCTGCACTTTCAGTAATAGGATAATTAGCATAGAAATCAATATATTCTGGTGCACGATAAAAAGGTGTTGTATTTTCTTCAATTTCATCTTTAATTGTATCCCTATTAGTATTGTCTATTTTAAAGTATTTTGTTTTTGTGACACTGCCAAAATCACAGAGTTTAAAATAACCCAAAGAATTTAATAGTACATTTTCCATTTTAACATCCCTATGAATATAACCTAACTAAATATTTATTAAAGAGTTAGTACTTAATGAATTTAGATTAATCCTTTGATAATGTCTCTCGCAATCATCAATACTAATTATTCAGGAGGTCTTCTATTAATCTTGATGATATTTTTGATAATACATAAGTTGTCATTAAATCTATTAGACTTCCTTTAGAACAATTTTCTAAAATCAAGATTCCACTAGTTTAGCCTTATAATTGAGTAATGCCAGACTTCTCAAGTTTTACAATTCCTTCTCCTTAAACTTTATTCAAAATGTCCATTTCTATTTAAAATGCTCTAAATGCTTTAGGGTTTGACTTGTAACATACTTTGGCAACAAGATTTTGATGCTGAGTAGCATAAACTGTAGCAAAGTTACCTTCACCTATTTTTTTTTAGAGAATGTATGTGTCTTTATCTAATTAAATTTTCATTTAATAAATTCATGCATTCAAATATACTAATGATATAACTCCATCGGATGATGCTGCATATGTAGCATTTTCAGTTTAAGTCAAAGCCATAATTTATTGTTTTTTATCTAGAATATTATGGATATTTTTATACCTTATCTAAATGGTTTATAATCTACAATTGTTGATAATGTTTCTAAATTTATGATTTTGATTTGTCCATCATTGCAAGCACATATTAATGATGTTTAATACTGATTTAATTTCATAAATTTGATTTCTGTAAAAGGTAACTTAAAAATATAATTAAACAATTACTTCTAATGTTTTATAGATTTAATTTTTTCTGATATCTAAGAAATTGACAGTTCCTTTTTTCTAATTTCCTATCAATATTGAATTTAGGGGAGTAGAAAATAAAATGTCTGTTCCATTAAAGTTTTCTTATGCTACTATATTACGATTAGAAGGTAATAACATATCATACAAACCAAAATGAGGTTTACTTGTTGAACTATAAATTGAAGCAAAAACTGTTCCCTCATTAATGAATGTTAAATCAGTAGTTGGTCTAACTTTACTATTAAGTAAAAAGAGTGGTGTATTGAGTTTATTTACTCTATTGAGTTTCCAAATATAAGCACTATTATTAACATCATGTCCAATAAATAATTCACCTGAATTATTAAATTTAAGGGAATCAATTTAATCTCTCTATTATGTATTAAATTCAGCAACTACTTAGGATGATTATTTAAAAGTCATTACATTAACCATTCCTTTTCCACCTTATAAAAATAATGGTAGATGAGGATGAGATGCCAAACATTATAAATCTTCTTCTGGAATTTATTTACTAGAACAATTCTAAAATTTTTCCATAAAATCCTTTTCAGTAAAATCTTTATATTCTTCATATGGATATGCTCTTGATTTTAAATATGGTTCTTTTTCTTTATCAAATCCAACTTAGATTCCTAAAGCTGATGAACATAGTTTTATAATGTAGGGTTTATTTGTTTAAGAAGCTTCTGATCTTATAGCTTCATCTATTGTCTCTTCTTCTACTAAATTATAACCATCAAGTGATCTATTTTTGTGTTAAAGAGTATTATAAAATTTCATATGCTTTAAGAATTTACCATATAATACAAATCCTTCAATTGGATTAGCATTATTAATACACATACTTTTAATTTAATCAGTTTTTATTTTAAATACTTCAACACCTTATTTAAAGATTTTATTTTTAAATGTAATTATAGATTATTCATCGAAATTACTTATTGGATATTTAAATGCTTATTTAGTTCTATTAATAGAGATTTCTTCCAAATATTAATCTAATCCAACTTTAGAACAAATTTAAAAGAAATTATTTAAATTGAATATTTTTTCAAGTTATTTAAAGTATTAACTTTTAGCAAATGAAGATTCTTTTAGAACCATTCTTAGATCTTCAATAAAATTTTATTCTTATGAAAAATCAGAGAGATTCTTAAATAAAGTGATTACCATTTCATTCCTGGTTGTCACATATTATTCAGCCATTGTAAATATATTACTATAACTAGTTATTGCAATATTAAACATTTCTAATTTAAAATAACTTTTAGATATAGACAAGAAATATTTTACAATCAAAGATTACAATGTAAAATATATAAATTAATTCTAAATATTCTCTTCATTTGAACTCTTTTCTTAATTAATATCTTATTATTATGAATCTTCAAGACTTTCTGATCTTTATGAATTTTATTATTCTTATTCTAATGTTATTGGTTTATGCTTTTATAAATAATCCTATTCACTAACATTATATAAATCTTCAGGATAAGCATCTTATAAAACATCTAAACTTCTATATGCTTTGAATCCTTTATTTGAATATAGTCTTTTATTTTTTATTACTGATTTTACTAATTCACAGAAATCATCTCTCAAATTCTCATATCCACAATCTTATACATGTTATTTATAAACAGTATTACAAAAAGTCTCCAATTTTCTCAATTATTCAAATGCATTATCCCATAAATGTAATTCCAATGCTAAAATTAATGTCATAAATAATGCCAATAACTTAATAATATTCAATTTCAATTTATTATCAAATTTCTTCTGATAATATTATGATTATTAAAATAGTTTTAATCCAACATCAACTTCATATAGACTTTGAACAAATGTTAAATAATATTCTTAACTCTTTTCAGATAAAGGATAATCGAAACATATTCTATATAATAAACTTTATGTTTCTTAACAAAAAGATATAAATTCATCGAATCCTGTTTAATCATAATGAATTGCAAATGTAAGTAAACGAGCAGGAGACTTTAATTATCTTAATTTCTTCAATGCAATATCATAAAGTTTTGTTTTATTATGATTTGTAAATTTAGCTAAATCATCAAGTTTCTACATTAATTATACATAATTTGTAAAATGTTCTTAATCTTCAATTGCTTAAACTATATACATTTCAATCTATAATTCAATTAATTATTCTGATTGTTCTGTTTCTTAATTTAAATCTTATGCAAATATCATTCCTAATTATGGCATTTAAATATTATAATAATATTCTACTGCTTATTATTTAATAAATTCTTAATTATTATTAATAGTCTTAATTGGTACTTATTCTATAACCTCTTCTTCTTCTGATTCTTCACTTTCATAAAATTGAGAAAATATATCATCTTCAGCTTTCTTACTCTTTTTTTTATTTGCATCAATACTTTATTGAATTTCTCTTTTAACATTTATATTATCTTTCAATTTTTCAACCAAAAGAATAGCTGATGGATGATAATATGATAATTAAGGTGTAAATGTAGAAGGCCAACTAATACAAATAGCTTTTCCAAAATTATCATATTCTAAAATATGATGTTCAGGTTCTCTTAATAAAACATTAACACTATCAACATATTTTCCCAATAGATAACAACCAATATGCAATAACCAAATATCATTCATTTCCTCACCACTTTTAATAAAATAATCTTAAATTAATTATTCTCCAACAGGTCCACCTTAAGGTTCATAGATCTTAGTAGTTAAATAAGCTAATTATATATCCTCCATATATCTAGCCATTACATTTACTGCATCATTCAAATGTCCTCCTATTAAGAAAAAGGCAGCTGCATCTTAATATCTTTTTTTGGATACTAAGGCATAAGCATTTTTTGATGCTGCCGATTTCCATCTAGGTTAAGTGAAATCTTATTGCAAAAATTCATAAGTTGATTTGAATTCCTTACCAGAATTAACTTCCTTTTTGAAAAGGGTTGTAATTACACTCTTTTTACCTAAAACTATAAAATATAATAATGATTAAAATGGATCCTTTGATTATTTATAAATCTATAATGCAATTTCTTCTAATCTTTATTTAATAAATGATAAATCCATCCATAAAACTGCTGCATATCTTTTAAGTAAATTCCAAGATAAATCATCAGAGCTTACAATACATTCTTACCATAGGGTTTCTTTTTATAAAGAATGTAATGCCCAAACTACTTCTTTGGAACTTAAAACACGATTCCTTTTATGAGTGGGTTGATTTCTAAAGATATGCACATGGAACATAAACATTGCAGCATAAAAATCTAATGAACGTTAATTATCTTCATAATATCTTAAATAATCTAGGATTATGTTAATTTTTAATGGATATTCTTAACATATCTTTTTAAGTATATCAACTGGATTTAGATTATAATCATATGAATCTTTGTCTTATAATTTCTTCATTTCATATATTTTAATAGCATCAACCCATTAAGGTTCTGGTTCAGAATTCATATGATATAATTCTAATAAATTTTTATATGGAACCATAAAATGATTTCCTAAAGCACCATGATGTTTGAATTTCAGACATATTAATTTTAAGATAAATTATACTAATTATAATTTACCTAATTGTATTAATTCACTCAGAAAATCAAAATCTTACAATTGAACATTGTCTTAATTATAAAATAATAGAAAATACTTTATTGATTTATTAATTTGTAATTTAAAGTACTAGGCATCCAAAACTTATCAGCTAAACAACGTATTAATGAATTTCCTAATACTTTAATTTTTCTTCCTGTTTTTACAATCAAACAATCCTTTATTGTATAGAATCTGTAATTTTGTGGCATTGAATATTTAGATAATCGTTTACAATAGATTCCCTCTCTATTATTTAAATATTTTCTATAAATATTAAATAAATAAATTACTATTTAATTGAAGACAATTTATAATTTTAATCACTTTTATCAAATTGAATAGCAAATGCAGTCAAGTAATTATCTGTTTATAAAATAAATGCAAAGTTAGTTAATGGTACAACTTATACAATAACTTTAGAAACATCATAAAGAGCTTTATCTACTCTAACAAGAAATGATTAAAGATTGAATCTAACTAAAAATTCTCCTGATGAGGAATGAAAATCAATTTCATTTTAATGACTTATTACAAAATAAATAGGTTGAATTCCTCTTAATTATCCAACTTCTTTAATATTATAATTTTTAGAGATTTGAACAATTTATTACATTTATTCATTAAATCCCTTTAATTATTTTCCAGTAATAGAAATAAAAGAAAGTTCAGTTGATTATAATATCTATAATCTTTCATAAACAAAATCTAATTTCCATGTTTTCAATTCTATAACTTAAAAATCAATTTATCCATGACCATAAATTTCAAATTGAATTTAGATTAAAGCAATTTTTTGTTTGGCTATAATTAATAATTGTAATTCTTCTATTTCATAATTAATTTTTTTCCAATCACTAATTGAATCTCTATAATCAATTGATAGATGATTATATAGATTGAGATGTACTTCTACTAATTAATTTGATTATATAATGAAAGCCAAACATTATTAAGCATTAGATGAAATGAGTAGAATAACATCATTTTCTTTTACTTTATCTCTAGTAATATACATTTGCTAATCTATTATATACATTCTATTTTACATTTTGATAGATTGGAATTAATTTTCCAAATTTTAGATTGTCCATCTTAAATATGATATTCCTAACTAATTACACTATTTAATTTTAATTATTATAAACATAAGTAATTCCAATCATTTATTATAGCCACTTAACTTTTACAAATTGAAAAATGTACAATATTTTAAAATAAAAATTTTTCACATTAAAATACTTATTTAGTATCATCTTTCAAATTTACACATATTTTGATTAAATTCCATAATCTATCAAATCCAATAATTTCTATCTTTTATCCTTCAATCTAATCTACTAAAAGAATCTTTTTTATTTATTTAAAAATATCACTTTTAGTTTTCTTAATAACTTTTACAGATTCTTCTAAAGAATAATTTCTAAGAAAATCTAATTTAACCACACTTAATTCGAATTCTTAATGTAATAAAAGATAATCAACACTAGATTATTCAGTATCTTAAACTCCAAATTAATCTGATTCTAAATAGATATTTTTTGAAGGATAGGGTGTTTAACCTTTTAGATAAATGAAACAAAATGATGAGATTTAATCAAAATGTAAAGTGTGTAATTTACAGAAATTTTTACATTAAATCATTTCTTGCCATACTGTTAATTAATTAGTTTTAGTTAATGTAACAATAGTATTAGGAGTAGGAAAAGGAGATGGAGCTATTCTAAGTGTACCTCTAAATTTGTAAGAAATTACTTCATCCTAATGATCTAATTTCACTCTTTATTATTATGATAGTACTCCTTCTTAAACTTCTTTAATTGAATTGAAATCCCAAACAATAACAGTATTTTCATGAAGAGTTGTAAAATAACGAACATCTGGAGAAAATTTCACATTTGCTATTTAGTATTCCAATTCTAATGTATAAATTTCTGTCAGATCAATTAATTCATATTAATCTAATTGTCCAAGTAATCTATTTTACTTATGAGTTGCTTTCCAAATATGTAATTTATTTTATGAACATCCTATAATATGTTCATCTGTTTTATAGAACAATATATATACCATCAAAAGAGAAAAATGCATCTCTTATGGGATTCGTGCAATTTTTACTGTAACTCTATTCCCATCCATTCAATAATGGCTTATACGCTATCAACTCTCTTTCACAGAACACGACAAATACTCCTTTACTAGATGTTGCCACAGCCACGATGTCACTCATATAATTCCTAAAAGTCTAAGGAGAATCTCATGATGTTAGTACTTGCATATGTTACAATATTTCTTTTGTGTAAATTATTAGCTTCTCTTTTGAATAGGTAAGAATACACTCGTTCTAAAAATGTGAGACACTTTTTAGTATTTAATACATATTATTATATATAATTTAAATTAAATGAAGAAAGTCAAAGGAGGAGACTTTAATTTTGCTTCAAGAGCATAAAAGATAGATAAACTTGAATTTCCATAATCTACTGAAGAGCGTTTCATTGTTAAAGCCAATAAAGATGTATTTATAATTATTTTTTTATTTTCTAGGGAGTTGGATTCTAATGGAAAACTTATGATGAAAAATTATTAGCTAGAAGTATAGATAAATAGACTTTTGATAACACAGTGGGTGAAGCTACTCGTATTTGTCGAAATTTATGGAGAGAAAAATAAAGAGAAGAACATAAAGATCCTACAAAGGCATATTAACCACTTCTTTATGTTTCTGTTTTTTTAATCCTTTTGGCTTTTGTTTTTCTTTTAGTTTTAATCTATGGAAATAGAGATAAATTAGGATTGCTTTATGTTGCAGTATCAATTCTATGTTTAGCTGCATGTATTTTATTTATATTATAAAAGTGCTTACTTTAATTGTTGTTGCTAAGACTTGGAGTTTAGAACCTTAATTCATGGATTTGGAGAAAGAACAGCTAAATAAAGTGACTGAATACTTAAACAATCAGAATTCATAAATTTATCAAGCCAAAGGATATAAATGGTAGGTTGAACCTAATCTTTATTGGATTGAGTTGGTAGCAATTTGATAAATATAATTATATATAATATACATATATATATATTTGATTCTAAAGTCTAAAAACCTTAATTATATTTAAATTAAACTTATTATATATATATATGTAAAGAAAACTGAATATAATTGAACAAGAAAGTTAATTTTATATTTTTGATATAGTATTTCATTAATCTAGGAATTAGTTTATTTTAATTCTTTTATGATAATAATCTTTAATAATTTTTATTTTAATATGAGTTTTATCTTGATCAATGAATTATTTTATTTAAAGATCTTTAAAATAGTTATATTTGAATAAGTAAGATGATAGTATATTCATCTATTTTTAATTTTATAATTTCTGTGCAATAACGATATATAATTTAATTATAATTTCAGCAACATCTACGTGATTTAGAACTATTTTATTAATTTTATGTTTAATTAATAGATTATCCAACTCTGACTCCTGGTAGTTCATTCTTTTGTTAACTATTCTATACAATTTTTAACACTTGTTATGCTGCTTATGAGAATGTCTAAAAAATATTATTGATATTACATCAATAATATTTAAATTATCCTTTGCACTTGTTTCAATAAATAATAGATTTTTTTCATTCGCTAATTACTATCCTTCTGATTTGGAAACTTTACGCCATTTATATTATGTATATTATACTATTTTTCTAAATCAATTTTATTTCCAACTAATACTATAACCATATCCTATGTGCCATGTGTTTAACATTCTTTTATCCATTCTCTAACATTATCAAAAGATTCCCTTTTCGTGATATCATATACTAAAATTGCTCCTGCTGCTGATCTATAATATTATCTTGTGATAGATTTAAAAGTTTCTTATCCAGCAGTATCCCAAATTTATAATTTGATCTATTTATTCTCTAAATCCAGAATTTTGGCTCCAAATTCAACTCCCACTGTCATCTCATGTGTCACTCGAAACTTCTATTCCAAAAATTAATACAAAATGCAGGATTTTCCGACAGCTTCATATTATCATATTATTATTACAAGTATCTCCTATTATGATAAACTTAAACAGATAATGATATGACATTAATAATAATATTCAAATTAAATTAAAGCATTCTCCATAATTCTACCATTATATAAAATTCTTGAAATCTATATATGTTATATATTTCTATATAATAATATAATAGAATAAATATATAAGATAATTAATTATAATGAACATCATAATAAAATAAAGTCATTTGTATTTTTTATTAATACCTCATAAACAAATAAACAAATATTTTCTGTTATTAAATAACAATACCAAAAAAGATTTTATAATTAGTTTAAGTCTAATCTAGTAATTATTCCATTAACAAATATAATTATTTCAATAATTTAAATAAATATAAGTGAAAATGAGAAAAAATATGGTAATAGAAAAATAATTGAAATTTATAAAATAAATTGAGTAATTTTTTAAGAAAATAAAAAACACTATAAAAGCAAGGAAAGAATTAATAAATTCTAGTATTTAATTCTCTAACTATGTTTTCTATTTTCAATTTATTTCAATTCTTAAGGGATTGATTTGATAACATTTTGATTATCACAACTAAAGTAAAATATTAATAAGATTTATTTTTGATCAAATTCATAAGATAAATAATAATTTGTGACATGTATTTGAAAATGTATCTTGCCTTCTTTCAAGCAAAAATCATTTCAATTTTTTCTGATTTTATAATTCTTAAAAAGAGATTCAAAAAAATAGAACCATTTTAGTAAGGAATAATAGTAATTATTATTTTTAGCAATAGGAACCACTGATGGTTACTCTAGTATTGAGGATAGATTTATACAATTACTTTTTTTATTTTAAATACAATAAGAATTAATTAAATCTTTATATATGTCGAACGATAACCCAGACGGCCAACCATTGGATTTTGAGTACTATGAGACAAATTATCCATACTTGAATGTTAAAAAGAATCTACTGAATAATACATTGTCTAAGTGGAGAAGGGCTATCGCTCCATATAACCCATTTGCTATGCAATAAATTCCTAATTAGAAGCGTATGGGTATGGGAATTAGAAATGGAAATGGATTCTATTTTCCAGATCCTTATCCTAATAGAGTAAATTGGAGTGTATTCTTCCCAACTCATTATGATCCTTTGAGTGAATAACACTTTGGCAATCATGGATGGCAAACTAGAAAGTAATTAGAAATCCTATTTGAAATAGAGATGCTCCTATGTTTACAGCATTAGCAATTAGAGCTTAAGCACTTCCAAGAGGTTGTGTTAGATAGATTGAATAATTTAAACGATGTTAGAGTGTAAATGGAGTAACTAAATGTTAAGAAGAAGCTGATAATATTATATCAATTTGTCCAAAATGGGCTTTGGAAGGATTAAAAGAAAAAAAGAAGTAACTTGATAAGATTGAGGCAATCTAAACACTTTAATATCGTTCTGTGTTAGAGGTCTCTCCATATAATAAAGTATATGCTGCTCATTAAATTAAAAGGGTAGAACAGTGAAAGATGTTTCAGATAAGACTTGGGCTGATGGACACAGAGAGAAACTTAGACCAGACACAATGTGGGCTGATGAAAGATATACTAATATTACTCAAGCTGAGATCAATGAAGCCAAAAAACGTGTTGCTGCTAGGGATTAAGCAAGTGGAAGGTATTAATATATTATTGAATGATTTAGAGTCAAAGAAGCAGTTTATCCAGTACATCATCCAGATCTTACAAGTTCTCATCAGAGCGAAGATAAACCTCTATATCCATGATTTATTAATATATGCAACGGAAAATATTAAATAATAAATATAATAATAATAAAAAAAATCTTTGAGGATGGTATGAGTTTAATGCTTAATTAGGGTTTACTTAATATCATTAGAAAGATTAAGAAGTCAGAAAAGGAATTAAGAATTCTTGTGTTAGGTTTGGATAATGCAGGAAAAACTACTATTTTAAAGGCATTGTCAAATGAAGATATAAATCAAATTGCTCCTACTCATGGCTTTAACATTAAAAATTTATAACACGAAGGATTTAAACTTAATGTTTGGGATGTAGGAGGTTAGGAGGTAAATCCAAAACTACTTTATAGAAACTTCGAGAATATTGGAGCAACTTCTATGAAAATACAGATGCTTTAGTATTTGTGATTGATTCATCTGATTAAATGCGTTTGGAAGAGGGAGGCAAAGAGTTAGATAAATTACTTGGAGAAGCTGAATTAAAGAAAGTACCTCTCTTGGTATTTGCAAATAAATAAGACTTGGTTTAAGCACTTCCTGCTGATGAGGTTAGTATTCTATCTAATTAAGATCTCTGATAGTTTGAAATTAAATAAAATTAATGATAGATAATGGTCTATTGTTGCATGTTCAGCCAAAACTCAAGAAGGTTTATAAGAAGGAATGGAATGGTTGATTAAGACAGTCCAAGACAAATGAATATTAAATATTAAATATATTTAGATGAAAACATAGATCGGAGTTTTAATTCATCTCCACAAATTCACAAATATAGATCTCTCTACATAAGGAATCTATCAAATTAGAGTTTCTGTGGTATTAAAATAAACTTAAATTCTCTTAGCCAGGAGCTTAGCCATACCTTATTATCAATTCCACTCGTTAAGAAGCCATTTCAGTTAATGAGGTTGACGAAAAACATATATGTTATCCAGAAAATATACATCATTAATATTTTTATTCTCAAGGATTTTTAATAATATATGAGGATGAAGAAATGCTTACTAATGTTGGTTGTGCATTCCGATTAGAAGAAATATAATTTAATTCAAATATTCAAATCTAGATGGATTTACTTTTCTTAGATATTAAGTCACTTCCAGATATACATTCTCAAGACTTCACTTAAAATGTGATGCATTTACATTCAAAAATGAAACCAGTATCACATGCTTCATTCTTAGTGTCCAATCCTCATCATTACAACTAAATGTATTATCCTGTTGATTTTGATACCAATCATTTCTGTAATGTATAAACTCAAATCTTTACTACTCCTATTAACATATCATTCACTAAAGGATTTGTAGAAGAATAAATTAAACTTCATTTTAATACCTTCATTAATTAAACTATGCATGTACTCACTTCTAATAGAAATTCTCTTCAAAATATAATGTTAAAGATATAATCAGATAAAAAAATCATTCAATTATCATATAAAGAATAAGAATATAATATAAATGATCCTAATTTAATAAACTAGATTAATTAGGTATATTATTCTAACTTATTAGAGTTTTTATGATTTACATCACGATCTCTATGTCCTATGGTGTGAATTAATTTCAATCTTAAAAGATAATTATCTAAATCTCCTTAGAATTTTATAATAAGATTATTGTGATCAAATAAAATAAAGATGGATGAATTGCATTTTAAGTTATTCTACTTAAAATATCAATCTTTCTTCTCATACAAATCAAGAATTAGCAAAAAATAAACGACATTCCTTAAAAAATACTGAATTTTAAAGAATAGTTTATATTGAAGCCATAATTCCTTTGCAATCACATCCATTTATCTTTAGAACCACTCACTTAAAGCAAGGATTATAATAAATTTCTAATGATTTCAGAGTTCATTATGTTGTTTTACTTCATGGTTATTAAGGTACATCTTATGATATGAGATATTGGAAGGCAATTCTAAAAATTCGTTTTTAGGATAAAATAAAATTAATATTGCCTACATGTAATGAATTCATTAATAATAAATCTATTAAATAATAAGCTTAAGATTTAGCTGAAGAAATAATTGATTATATAAATCATGAAAGAGTATTTGATTTCAAATTATCTTTTGTTGGACACTCCTTAGGTGGACTTATAATTAGAGCAGCTTTACCTATGTTATAATAGTTTTAAATTTAAATGCATTCTTATATAAGTTTAGGTACTCCACATTGTGGATATGCCCCATCTAAAAGCTTTTTAATTGATACAGGGTTAATGATGATTTAAAAATGGAATAAATGCAAAACACTTCAAGAACTGAGTTAAAAGGATAATAAGAATATAGCATCAACTTTTCTTTATTAGTTAAGTACATTTGAGGGATTAGAATGGTTTAATAATGTTGTTATTCTATCATCTCATTAAGATCATTATGTACCTTTTCAGTCAGCATTAATTTAAAATATTGAAGAATCTAATGATCCAAAAATCTTATTTTATAATTAAATGGTTACAAATATATAATCAAAATGTAAAAAGATTGATAGATTTGATATTGACTTTTTGATTACAAAAAAGTATAAATATAATTTAATATATTAAGAAAATTGGATAAATTTATAGGAAGGGCAGCTCATATAGAATTTATAGATAACTTATTATTCGTAAAGATGTTTGTTTACTTATTCAGTGAATTTTTTATCTGAATTTTTAGAAATAATAATTATCCTATTTAATTTAAATTTACATTATTTAATAAATCATTTTATAATTTATAATATTTTCTATAAAAAAAAATATTTGCATATAAAATTATATAATTATCAAATTTCACCTTGATTAAATTAAAAATGAGGTAATTCAACATCGGAATAACATTCTTCAAGTTCCTTCTCATAATTTTAATTTTATTTATCTTCAGGTTTTTCTAAAGAACCTAATATTTCAAATTCATCTGAAAATTAAGCTTAAGCAAATGGTGCTGGAAATGACTAATTTGTTAATTTCGGTTGAGTTATAGTTACTTGTTATTTTGCAATTGGCTTTTCCATTTAAGATAATTTTTCATCTAATTTCCCTTATGCTTTATCAACTGTATATAATTCTTATCCTTTATCTAAAACTTGTTTTCTTTATTTTTAGGTTTATCCTTATGGTTTAAAAGATGGAATAATGCCTTTTTTTTATTATTACTGTTTTTTTTCTTATTCAGCAGTTTATTTCTCATCTAATATAACTTCTTAGGTATCATCTACAGAAAAGTCATCTATCAAAATATCTTTAGAATTATCTTTTTGTTCTTTTACTTCTTCAAATTATACAGCTCTTTTAATTATATGATCATCTTTTAATACTTCTTTTTAGACTTCAATTATTTCTTAAGATTTATCTTGTTAAATGATATTTATTGATTTATCTTTATATTATTGATTGTCATCATTTTGAATAGTTTCTTTATTTGTATTTTAAAAAGAATATCTTTTTAGATTCTTAAATTTAAAGTCATCATTTAAAAATTCTTATTCTAAAAATGATAATAAAATAGTAGGAGCTGTTGCTTTTAGAAAATCATAATGATAATATTCTTGATATGGTACATTTCCATCAGGTCTAGGTAACCATTCAACTAGAAATAATCCATTTTCTAAAGAAATTGACTTTATTTTATCACCTTAATCAGATTTCAATGAAAATAAAGTTTAATTTTGAATTTATTATTATTTTATTAAATATTTCTCATTCTAATTCAAATTATTTTGTAATTAAATTGATTATTGTTATTATTATTATTATTATTATTATTATTATTATTATTATTATTATTATTATTATTATTATTATTATTATTAAACTTGTAATTATTATTATATCTATTAAGGTAATGGTAGAATTTAATTGTTATTTAATTTGTTATTTTTTTCATTTGATTTTTCAATTTTTTTTTGCCTTTTAAAAATTGGATAATTTTCATCTGATGGAATAGCAGGTAATTTAGCATGATTCTCAAAATTTTACATTTTATTATTATTTTCTCTCATTTTCTATAAAGTTTATTAATCAAATCTGCTACCACAAACAGAAAAATAATTATAATCTTCTATCAATTCTTAATAATTCTCTTTCATAAATTTTTCTGTTTCTTGTTTCTATTCATTATTACTGTATTCAACAAGATATCTAATTCCACCTGCATTAGAAACCATTTTTTTTAAGATTTTCATTGGTTTAATATCTGTCTCATCTTATGGGTCAATTAAAATCAATTCACAATCATTTTTCTTCTGGGACATTTATTTAATATTTTTACATGATATTATAAATATTATTAATATATATTCATAAAATCCTTCTTTTGTTTATCAAATAAGATTTCAAAAACTTTATAATTTAAATTCTAAATTAATTTCTCATTATAGTATCATCTAAATTAATTGATTACATATTTAAATTCAATAAAACAAAAACATTTTTCTAAAAGTGTTTTACGAATATTAAACTATATAGATTTTTAGTATTAAAATAATACTAGAAAGTAAAATAGTTTTTTTGTGGTTTTAATAATAGAAATTATCAAATTTAGAAAAGTATAGAGAAGAATCATAGAATCAATAATAGTCTTTTAATCTTAATTAAAACAAAAGGAATTAATTATATAATTTGAATTTTAAATTAAACGAAATGTAAGACGACCCAACATTATTTACAACACTTAAAGGACACAAAGATACTATAACAGCATTGTCATTTCATCCTGGATTGTATATCAATAATTATATAGTAGAAAATCAATAGCTTCAAGTGCTAATGATGGTGTAGTATCTGTATGGCAATTGAAATAACCAAGAAAGATTTATAGATTTATGGGTCATAAAGGATAAGTAAGTGATGTACAATTTTCTCCTAATGGATTATTAATTGCATCTTGTGCAAAAGATGAGACTATAAGACTTTGGAATAATACAGTTGAAGGAAGTTCAGTATCAATAAAGGCACATTCAGCACCTGTCAGAAGTGTTTAATTTTCTTGTGATGGTTAATTATTAGTAAGTTCAAGTGATGATAAATCTGTGAAAGTTTGGAGTGTAAATGATCGTAAATTTCAATATGGATTCCAGCATACAAATTGGGTTAGAAGTGCAGTGTTTTCATAAGATGTTAGATTGATAGCATCAGGTGGTGATGATAGAGCAGTTATTATTTGGGATTGTGATTCAAAAAAAGAAGCTTAAAGATATAATGAACATATTGGAGTAGTCTATAAAGTTCAATTCTCACCAGATTCTACAATATTAGGATCATGTTCTCATGATAAAAAATTAAAATTATTTGATGTAAGATCAAAGAGAGTTATATAACATTATGATGCTCATGCAGATTCAGTATTAGATTTGAAATTTCATCCATCTGGATAATTTGCTATGACATCTGGAGCTGATAGTAAAGTAAAAGTATGGGATCTAAGAATGGGTAAATTAGCATATACACTTTATGGTCATAATGGTTAAGCTACTACATGTGCATTTTCTAATCATGGAGATTATTTTGCTACTGGAGGATCTGATAGTATGATTTTAGTTTGGAATACTAATTGGGTATGCAGTGGTCAAGAATCTTTAGATGAAAAACCTAAATAAGTTAAAACTAAACCTATTCAACATACATAACCATAAACATAATAATAATCATCTTAATAGAAAGAAAATATATAATAAACTAATAGTTAATTACCTAAGTAGAAAGAAACTGTTCTATATTCAAATGCAGATAATAGTCTACATAAAAAGAGTGAATTTAATTAAAGTGTATAATTATAGAAAGAGGATGTACCAGCNGAATTAATTATATAATTTGAATTTTAAATTAAACGAAATGTAAGACGACCCAACATTATTTACAACACTTAAAGGACACAAAGATACTATAACAGCATTGTCATTTCATCCTGGATTGTATATCAATAATTATATAGTAGAAAATCAATAGCTTCAAGTGCTAATGATGGTGTAGTATCTGTATGGCAATTGAAATAACCAAGAAAGATTTATAGATTTATGGGTCATAAAGGATAAGTAAGTGATGTACAATTTTCTCCTAATGGATTATTAATTGCATCTTGTGCAAAAGATGAGACTATAAGACTTTGGAATAATACAGTTGAAGGAAGTTCAGTATCAATAAAGGCACATTCAGCACCTGTCAGAAGTGTTTAATTTTCTTGTGATGGTTAATTATTAGTAAGTTCAAGTGATGATAAATCTGTGAAAGTTTGGAGTGTAAATGATCGTAAATTTCAATATGGATTCCAGCATACAAATTGGGTTAGAAGTGCAGTGTTTTCATAAGATGTTAGATTGATAGCATCAGGTGGTGATGATAGAGCAGTTATTATTTGGGATTGTGATTCAAAAAAAGAAGCTTAAAGATATAATGAACATATTGGAGTAGTCTATAAAGTTCAATTCTCACCAGATTCTACAATATTAGGATCATGTTCTCATGATAAAAAATTAAAATTATTTGATGTAAGATCAAAGAGAGTTATATAACATTATGATGCTCATGCAGATTCAGTATTAGATTTGAAATTTCATCCATCTGGATAATTTGCTATGACATCTGGAGCTGATAGTAAAGTAAAAGTATGGGATCTAAGAATGGGTAAATTAGCATATACACTTTATGGTCATAATGGTTAAGCTACTACATGTGCATTTTCTAATCATGGAGATTATTTTGCTACTGGAGGATCTGATAGTATGATTTTAGTTTGGAATACTAATTGGGTATGCAGTGGTCAAGAATCTTTAGATGAAAAACCTAAATAAGTTAAAACTAAACCTATTCAACATACATAACCATAAACATAATAATAATCATCTTAATAGAAAGAAAATATATAATAAACTAATAGTTAATTACCTAAGTAGAAAGAAACTGTTCTATATTCAAATGCAGATAATAGTCTACATAAAAAGAGTGAATTTAATTAAAGTGTATAATTATAGAAAGAGGATGTACCAGCTGAAGTTATTACTTAATTAGATAATATAAGTGGTTAATTAGAATTAATTACAAGGTTATTA